ATGTATTTACTCCTCATCTAATCTAGTTAGTTGGAGAAATATAGAATATTGTTTACAAAAAATGTTATACAATCCTTGTATCAACATCGAGATTATCTACTTCCCAGTTGGCTAGTCATAAAGGTTAAACATGAGTAATAATTAAAAAGTGGAAAATTTTCGTTCACAAATTACTCCTTTTCGAAATTCACAGAAAATCTGCGAGTAAATATTTCACAGAAATATCTCAAGGGAGAAATCTTTGTCATACGAGCAAGATAAATTTGCTCGCATGACAACTCCAGAACGGTATGAATCTCTAGCTCTTAGTAAAGACAGATAAAGAATTGATACTTTGATGAACTCATTATGAAGATGGAAATTACAACAAGACCAGATATTTTGTCCCCAACACCAACGCACTCTTTCCCGTCTTCTATCCTGTACAGTACCATTAGCTTCTAAGAGCATCTACGCTCTATACCAGGAACTGTCCACGTCTGGCTATTAAGCTTCACTCAGCCTCCACGGAGGACTGAAAGCTGATTTGTACAAGCTCCAAATCTGCGTGTCACTTCAAAGCGAACGTGCGTTGGAACCTATGTACGGACTAGGGAGCTTCCCGGCCAAGAGACGAGATTCCGTGAAAGTCGGCCGGCAGATTTGACCTCTTTACCGGCAAAGCAACCGGCTTGAAACGCGCTGATATTTGACCTCTTTCCCAGCATTCAGGACATAAAACCGGTAACCGGACCGGTCGACTTTGTAACATACCCGATTTGCACCTGGTAAGACAAAATATCTGCGCGGAGTAAGAGACAAAATGGTCTGCGCAGATGACCTCTCTCTCTCGTCCAGTCCAGCTCGGCTGGATGACGTGGCACCATCTTGGCAGCGCCAGCGTCAGCTCGCCGAGACGTAGCATTCTTTCTCGAAAGAACCGAGAAAGAACGCTGTTCATTGGTCGGTGACCGTCGCGGGGTTCTCTGTCGGACGTTTGTCTCTGACACGTCTTCAAGTCCGAGCGCAGGTCGTCCCAATCTCACAACTCCCCCCGGCCCTGCGTCCACGACCGTGCCCTGAAGCGCGACCTCAGCGTGACGCGACGTCGGCAATCTGATCTACTCTCGGGCACTTTCCGTTCACCGAAGCGACCAGAGTCTGACTCGGGCGTGCTTTCTCTTTACAGCTTATGACGGCAAAAGTTGATGGCGAACTGCCGACTCTGAAGTCAGATATTGCAATACTCTAGTGCCAAATATGCGCTTTCGTCAATGGGAGACGTCGTGGATTCCGTTGTCCCCTCTTCCGTGCCGCCGTCAGCCTTACGTGGCACCTCATTTGGCTGAGATGGCAAAGGTCCATCTACCACATCACGGGGAAGCTGGAACCACGTTCTTGTCACATCTGTGGTCACAACAGGGTGGGTAGGCATTTTGAGTCTGGGTCAGTTTTTCGTAAAGAGGTAATGAAAAAGTTTGGGTAAAGTTACTTCGAAGCTTCTCAGACTGCGCAGTGCCGCCTACATGTTTCCATAGCTGCGGAGACAAGGATGAGCAAGGAGCAGTTGGATCCCAGGATGTTTTTTTTGTTTTTTTTGTCTCTTGACATAAATATAAATGTCTGTAATCTGAGTACATTCGCAGCAATAAATGGCAGATTGATGTTGTTTCACTTTTTACTTAAAAGAATCTTGTATATTATGAAGGTCCCCAGAGAATAGATTCAAGCAAGAACACTGGAATTTTGAATAATTACGAGCAACTTGGTCTTCAATTCTAATTGGAAATAAAGCTTTACAGTTCCATTTTCGATTCTAAATTTCTATAAATAGCAATCTTGATTTCATAAAAACTGTTAGCAAGCTAAGTTTTAAGGTGAAAGTTACTTTGATATCTGATCAATTCAGTAAAAATTTCCTTATCTAAACTATGCCAACAGCAGTAATACAAAATATACTCCTCTGGACAGTAGAATATTGTATGCAGGAATAACATATGCGAATGAAGTTTATAACCGAATATTGTGAGATCAAATAACCGACAGATAATTAACTTGTAAGTATGATCAAATGTGTAACAAGTTTGATAGATTTGTGAAAATTTTTTAAATGACACCTTCTATATATCATGTTTCCTCTAATATTTTAACTTCAATAAGATCTGTATTATGTAAGTCAATGAAAATGGATTTAGATATAAAGTTACAAATTGAATTAGAAATGATACTTTTATTTTTATCATGAGCCTATTATGAGTCAGCGTCACATTATGAACACATTGAGATCACAATAATGTATAATGTTGTTACATTGTGAGAAAAAATTTTCTGTCTAAATGATATTTTGTTATAAGATTTCTGCACATTTATACATTATGTTCAAACTTAATACCAAATAGAATTGATTGGATCTTTGATTTTTATTAACACGTTTTTTTATTTTATTTCTCTATATTTTGAACTGAAATGTACTATGTCAAAATAAATTTCAAAAAGTGATTGTTTTGTAAATATTGAATTTTTATTCAATAAATATAGTTTGAACAGCAGAAATATTATTTTTTCTGATTTAAGCGATTCAAATTTTAAAGTGGATTATCTCATCCAGTTTACGAATATCTTAAACTACTCATTTTTTAAATTTAAAATAGGCATCATAATTTTGAATTTTATATTACAAAGTTTGAAATTTTGTTTAAAATTACCTTGAAAATAAGTTATCATATTTTTCAGGTTTTGAATTTTTTATGAAAATAAATATAAAAACAAAAAAAAATCATATATTAAATTAATTGATCAACTAGTTATTATGTTTTGATAAAAACAATAATTTTAATGGAAATGCAACAAAAATTTAAAAAAAATTCAATATAAATTCAAAAAATGACATATGACACCAAATTTGAATTTTATTAAGATCTTTATAATTTATTTAACTTTAAAATTTAGATTATTTCATTTTCTTTTGTTGAGGTTAACTTCAGTCAAAAAGTTAACCTCAAGTACTACTTAAAAATAGCTAGGAGTATCACCGGTGCTAGGGTACTTATACCCCAAAGTTTGTGTATTATTTCAAATACTTTTCAACATACTATCACGAGTGAGCTTCTCGTTGTGGACATAGCTCTTTGTGGTGAACCATATTACACTTTGGTATCATTTGTTTACTCTTGATGTCACCTGTTTATTGTCATTCAAATCTTGTGTGTTTTGCACTTAAACATTTTAGTTTGAGATTTGAAATACATTTTTTAAATATAAAGTTATGATAAATAAAACATTTAAAACTATGTATTTTTTTCTAAAAGATGATATGTTTGATGATATTGAGACTATCTATGTAACTGAGTATATGAGATATAAAATCTTTGAAACAAATAGTGTCATAGTTTTCATCATATTAAAGTTACTTAATAAATAAAAAACTATATGCAAAAATCAAATATAATTCGATTTTTGCATATAATTTCATCTAGAAAGAGTAATATTTCTATCATAAATGTTAGTTATAAAAAACTATATACATATAAAATAAAATTATATATTACATTTTTAGCCATAGCAAGCTCATTATAACATTGAATAGTCTTTTGCATGTATATCAATTTTTTTGTAAATGCAAAAAAGATTGCATATATACCAGAGTTGACTTTAATGAAATAATCTTCACTAAAAGCAATGAAAAGATAAGGTTAATTTTTTATATTTTTTATAAAATCTAAATTATGAACCCATAAAATTATAATTTAGAAATTTAAAAATATTTTAATTTCAAATTATGATTATTGTATTATTCTAACTACTTTTTTCTATAGATTTTTTTCCCTGTGAGCGGTAATATCTGTAATAATAATTATAAAATTTTCACCAAAATAAATTCATCATAATAAAAATAAAGTTTCAAACTATCTACGGATAGAATCTATGATGGAATATTTTCTTTAGTTAATTTTTTTTTTACTTAAAAGTGTCTTTGATGAAGCTCAAAATAAATAAAATAAAATAAATTTCTATATCAAAACAAATATATTTTTTTGATATAGAATTGATAGAATTATAATCAATTTACCAAATCAAGTCCTAAGATGCATCCCAATGTTTACGTTATCTGACGAAATTAATTTTTTGGAATTTTAAAAATCTGCTTCTAATAAAAACATTCTAATTACACAATCTCTTGCAATAACGCAATGCAATATATTGAAAGAGAGCTTATTACAACATACCAAACATATTCTAGTTAAAAAAAATTCTAACATTTTTCATTAAATATACAATAACATCATTTTACAAAACGTAAATTAAGTAAAAACTATGTGAAAATTTATGTTATCCATCAGTAATAGTTTTATAAATTATCTGGATAAACCAAGTAGCCTAAATTTTTATTCATCTTATTCATTCTTATTCATCTGAAATCCATCAAAATCTCGCATTAGTTTTCACGTCTGCATAGATGTTCGAGAATTGTCCTTGAAATGATTCCAATGGGGTAATGTGCTAATGATCTCCTTCTCACTGCGTTCTCCTGTTTTGTAAAATAGTTGGGGTTCAGCTTTGCAATATAAGGAGAAAAAATAGTAAAAGTAAATGATAATATATGAAATTTCACATTGACCAATAGAATTTGTAAGAAATTAAAAAAAATTGCAACTGAAGATACAATTTTAAAATGGTAGCGGAATGAACTCTCTTATCTTTTCGATAGTGGCTTTGTCTCTGGGCGTGAGTTCACATTTTGTTCTCTCCTTCTATCAGATGGTTTCACAGTCTGTTTTAAAACTTGGAGTCCACGTTTGGTTGTGGGGACTTACAAACCATAAAAGTCAATGTACGTGATTTGTGAGTACAGTAATGCTGTGTCGTTCTCTTAGAGAAGAATGAAAGCAGAAGTTACCTCGGGAATTGATCTGCATGCGGCATATTCTTTTGGACCGGTAACATGCATCAACTATTCCAACGTAATATGTAGAGACGAGAAGGGGAATCTTCCTTTTGATTCTACCTCGGAGGAGGTTTCCGCCAGTGCCGATGAACTTTAGTCTGGATTCCTTTTTGTTCTTGCTTCTTAAATATTCCGCTTTTCCTTTTCAGGTCCAAGGAGGTGGAACTTGGATTCATCCCGATGAGGAATTGAAGGCGCGGTCCAACGACATTTCTCGATTGTGTAATGGATTAAGGACGAGGGGGCCAGAGCAGCGCACATGCAATGTTGTCGCTTGATTGCGCAGCAGCACCAGAAAGACTACAATTCGGACTTTTTGGTTTTAGGACTGCGGGGGCGCTGCAGTCTAAGCAGATATGAAGAACGCGTCCCTTAGACTTCCCTATGGCCTGCCTCCATTTCGCCTTTCTCCAGAAAGTGCGGATTCGATCGACAGTATCGGATCCGTTCTTTTGCATGACGGCGCAATTCTCGATGATCACACGGACCTTATAAGAGCGATGATGCTGCGTACTGTCTCTACCATCATCGTGGTCAATACGTACTCAGATGCTCTGCAGAATTTGCTGGAGTTTCGATTATTCACGAGCGTGTGAGACATGACTTTGTCGGGAAGAAGTACATCGTCGTGCATCTGAATCAAGAATTTTAGAAATAGGTGAAGTTATCTGTGGACGAATGGAGCTGCCCGAGGGAGAGCAGGATGATAACCCATTGTTCCAGCCTCTTCAAATGGGGCCGGCCCTTCTTTTCCACAGGTGCGTTTGAAAAGTGAACTGTTTTCTCTACTTTCCGCTCTGCTTGCTTCACAGAAAGGCACATGTCGTTTGTTGACCACGTACGAATTTTCCGAATTCCGTGTCCAGTTTGGTCCAGTTCTCTTGACATTTAAAGTGAGATAAACTAAGAAAAGTCTAGCGGTCTTTTGGAATTTCAGGATTGTCTTGGCTCCTCTTACAAGAAGTCGATCTTATGGAGGATTTGCCCAACCACATGCTGCTCTGTACTATGGACAACGTACCACTTCAGGAGGTCTTCTAATTACTGAAGCGACCGGCATCAGTCTAACAGCGGACGGGTGAGCCCCGCCCTCGCCTGCTTCTCTTGTTTCATGCGTGAAAGAAATGCATTCGTTACGAACGTGCTCTGAGTTTGCCTTGCAATTGCAGCATTTATTGGGACGGCAGTAGAATTGGCATGAATGACTCTGGTGCCCGTTTCTTTGTGTAGAGTGCCCAACACACCTTCTTGCTACACTGATGAACACGTTGCTGCTTGGAGGCCCGTCGTGAAGGCGGTTCACGACAAGGGTGGAATATTTTTCGTCCAGTTGTGGCACGTTGGAAGACAAAGTCACACAGGTAGAACAATTGTATTGTTGTCAGGATGAAGTGAAGAATTTTAGTTTTGGCTCGTTCGTGACATCGGGTCTAGTTTGGAGAGGAATCGAGGGCACCTTTGAGCTGAACCTTGTCCTGGAGCACATTGCTACCCACTACCCAGTGAATGTTATTATGAAGAGTGATGAAGTGATGCTTTTCTTGTCTCTGCCTCATTGACTGTTTATGTCTTTTGTAGCTTATCAACCGAATGGAACTCCACCTGCATCTCCCACCAGCAAGAGACTGGAGACGGGAATGATCACTTTGCCCGATGGCAAAACTCGGGCACCATTCTCTCAACCAAGAAAACTCGAGACACACGAGATCTCCTCGCTCGTTCAAGATTTCGTGACTGCAGCTAAACAAGCCAGGGCTGCAGGATTTGATGGTGTGGAAATCCATGCTGCAAATGGCTATCTTCTAGATCAGTTCATGAAGGATAGCATCAACGACAGGACTGATCAATATGGAGGATCAATCGAGAACAGGTGCAGGTTCCCTCTGGAAGTTGTTGATGCGGTGATCGATGCAATCGGAGCCGAAAGAGTGGGATTCCGACTATCTCCACATGCCGATTATGGTGACTCACGAGACTCTCAACCCATGGCTTTGGCGGCATACATGGCTGAGCAATTGAGCAAGCGCAGTGTTGTGTATGCACACTATCTGGAGCCTCGTAATAAAGATGCAGGAGAGCATGAAAGCTCGGTACCAAGTGTATGGCCATTCAGAAAAAAGTTCAAGGGTGTTCTGATAGCCACTGGAGGTTACGGCAGGAAGGAAGGAATGAAAGCTGTAAATAATGGAAAAGCTGATTGCATCGGTTATGGTCGTCATTTCTTAGCCAATCCTGACTTACCCAAACGAATCAGGCTCAACGCAGCTCTTAACAAGGCTAATCCTGCAACTTACTCCATTCCAGATCCAGTTGTGGGCTACACTGATTATCCTTCTCTCGAGGAAGAGATGTGATTTCATTTATTGGTTACAATTGGTCCTTGGGTGCTCCTTGAACATAAACCTCGTTTTTGCAACGAAAAAGAAAAGTCTTTGGCACTACTACCAGCTGTATCACTCAGACGATCAGATTAAACCTCGGTGTGGTCACACTGCTAGTAAATTAAATATTATCGGAAATTTGCTTGGGCCAGTGGTGGGACACTGAAGTTTCACTAGCTGTCGATTATGTCGTAGTACGTAAAGAGTCGCCTTTTAGCATTTTGTGTCGAGGGATTGTAAAACATGTACATCTTGAACTGCTCCGTGTTTTCAAAATGATCACGTTCATTGTTTTGTCCATCTGACTCCGAATTCTGCTCTTACTTCCTTTTGCCTCTCTTTTTCTCTTTGGTCTGCTTCGCGGGCTTTTCTGAACATTCGATGTTCTATCAACTTTTCTCTCAACAATGTCTAGAGGCGTCTCAACGAAATGGCCTGCTTTTAATACTTGCATTATTCATGTTAGCTTAATCAATCCATGGATGATCAAGCATCATCATCATCGTACCGCACAACGAGTTGTCCGCTAGCACGCCAAGAAATCAATCTAGTCCCCAATGTTGTGTTGAGATTTCTCAACTCAGCAATTTGTTAGATCGAGTTCTATCTGAGTTGAGTAGTTTCATGACATGCTGATATCCTGATGACTTCAAAGTCTCTGATAATCACCGGGAACTGAACATTATCACATGAATGTTTTGCCTCCGCGTAATCTGCCTTATCTTCGGTGTGGGAAGGTGTGATAGACATGCACCGAATCCACTGCATTCATGATCTTTTAGAATACGTTTTACGTAATATTTTGAAGATGTACTACCTCTTACCCAGATCGAACTCTTTAAGCTCCCCTCTTGATTGAAAAGTTACTTGCCCGTACCGTTCGAATGAATTTACAGTCTAGAAGCCCCACAGGAAACGCAACAACGAGAAGGAGTTCAGTAGAATACAGTCCTCCCAAAAAGGAGCATGCAGACACGACGGTGAACGAAGCCAAGAGTAATGACGTTTAGGAGGAATCCAGGCGAAGAGATGAGAGCTGACCTACAAATATTGCGCTCTGCGAATCTGGAGATCAATGAGTACGAAATCGAGAGCGCAGTGGTTGACTTTTACTCATACCTCGCCCGGATCTTACTGTACGTGTCTAAATGTCGGAGGGAAGTAAATGCATGGCAGAAAGAATGACATTGGGTAAATAGTGGGGCAGGTTTGCAATTTTTTCTCTTGTGGATGCACTTAATACAGCGAGAAGGATGGAGTACCCCATCAAGTTCTGCAAGAATGAAACCGAAGGTTTTTGCAAAGCACCTTTGTGATGCTACTGGGGCTAGCGCCAATGCCTCTCATACAATTACGATATTTTGAATATTTGGGTCAAAAAGTCTACATACTACTTTAGCATAGCTAGCATATGTTAAGAAATTGTAGTTATCAGTTGTAGTCTTGTTACATGGATAATAAAGTTGGATTCTGATACCATGGCAGTAACACTTTAGGTTAGAAATGATAGTGGTAGGAGATAGAGAGCCTACTGAGGGATCATTATGTTGGTAAAGCTCCAAAGATAATATCTTTGACCTTATAAAACATAAAACGTTGTTATCATTCAAAGTTAAAGAACAGATTCAGAGTATAACTTGTCGAGTAAAAGACTAATCTGATTGAAGTGAAGTTAATACAAGATATGGATAGACTACAGGATGATCGTATCGATGTTACATAGCCTATTTTGCCTGTTTTATTTGTAATTATTGGTTCATGCGTTGCAGTTTTAAACCTAACAATGTCCTCTTTGTTTCTAGTCTGAGCACCATGGATATGAAATTGTGAGCTGTGAACACATTGATTAGTTTCATTTTTACTAATCTTTAGAACAAGCTAAGAAAAAATATTTTCTGATAGTTTTGGAAATAAGTATTTTTTTCATGTTCTGAAACCATTGTTGTAATTCGTATATTCATTTATACCCAATTAAGTTTGAGCAAAGGATTTTTTAAAATTATTAATAAAACTCGTAGTTTTGGTATTATGATCAAATAATGTGTTAGAGAAACTTATTCAAAAGTTGAAGATACAAATAGAATCAATTTGTCATTATAAGAGCTAAAATTTCATTCTTTATTATTTATTTATTTAAAGGATGTGAATATATTAATTAATATCTTGAAAATTTGTTTGAACCACAGGTGACATAGAGATTACTAAACTTGAAAATTAAAATAAAGGAGTCACAAAAGAGTAAAATATCAAAGCAATTGGACAAGATTCACTTTTTTAATTTTTGAAGATCAAAACGCTAAAATATAACCAACTTGCATGTATATATTTTTTTGGAGCACGTTTCAAAGAAGTAAACAGAAGAAAATCGTTAATCATCGGATTTTGATATGATAGCTTTAGTTTGTAATATTCTTCAATAAAATTCACGTTGCTTCAAATATATTCGTGTATGCTTTCATATTTTAAAGAAATTTCAAATTTTTTAATTATATACTAATTTAGAATCTGTTTCCAAAGATTGACATCAATTTCAGAGAAACAAAATAATTTTATTTCCATTCTAAAAGTTAGAATTTATTCAATTCCAAAAAATATTTGACATCAACTATTGTGAAAAGATTTTGAATTTTTAATTGAATTTCATAATCAATTTGTACTGAATTCAAAAAATCTTTCATATTTGAATGAAGATGAATGATGAATGCATAAAATGACATATCAAGATACGCGAGAGTAAAGGGAAACATTTCACATCTGGGTTTTCATCAAGTTCTAGGGCAAATCAATGTTCATGAGATTTTGAAGCATCATAAAATGTAATTCCTTTTCTAGATTTTGCATATATCCAAAGATAATTAATATATTTTGAAAGAAATACTCTATGTTTGATACAGTTTTTCAGTCATTTTTTATGGAAGAGTCAAAATTTCAAAGGAACAAAATACATATATTCTAACATATCTATATGCTAGATTATTTTTAAATTTAATTTGATATAAAATGAATGAATAATACAGCTAAATATTTAAGTATTATAATTGAATAAATATATTTTTTAATAATAATTTGTGTAATTTTTTTTGGGCAAGAGATCAATCAAGTGATAATTGATAAACAAAAAAATTTTATTCACTTGCATATGTTGCAATCATATGAAACAAATTTATGAAACCACAAGACAAGGCATCTAGTTTTTTGTTTCAAGATGCTTAAAAACTATTTTAAATATTTTTTTTGATATCATGCATTTAAACAAAAGCACGATATCATCAGAAAAAAAAACTTTAGAAATTGAATATTTTTTAAATGATCCTTAGAATACTTAGATCAGATTCAGTTGTCCAAACTAGGATTAAAAATATATAAGAAATAGATTTTTTTACAAGTATTTGAGCCAATTTATTTTAGCTCTCATAAGATCTATACTTTAATATGCTCTTCAATTATTCTTCGGATATCATATTTAATTTTTTTAGCTAAAATAAAAATTTCATTTAGCTTTAATAAATTTAATTTCTAGTCATTCAATGAATTTATATCCAAGTAAGCCCACTTCGAGCCAAAAATGTTGGATTTTACTGTCTAACTTTCAAGTTCCTTTGTAGATTAGAAAAACCAACTTTGGTCAATTTGATTTTGATTTATATTTAAGTGTTATATTGACTCACCCATGGAAACATCATCCAACCTATCTGATAGTAAGAAAAAAAAAATTGAATTCTATCAACTAATGCAAATAAGCACTTATGGAATAAAGTTGACACTAAGTTTTTTTTCATGAATGACTTTTAATATATAATCAATTTAATAATGATCACTTGACTTTCTCGTAACACAAGAATAATCAACAAAATTGATTGACATGATCTCAAAGTAATAGATCACAATGTGATTGCTTGTATGAAGTGTGCACACCAATTAGTCCAGTTATATTATTGATGCATCTTTTCCATCTTTATCATTGTGAGTTTTAGAAGTGATGAAGCACGTGTTATGATGTACAAATATCACTTTAACCGGCCATAAGAGAAGCTCTAGCTAGCATAGAGAGTACTTTAGTCACCTTAAGTACGGCTTACCGATGGATCCTTCTTAAATAATCATTTTTCGTAGAGTCTAATCGTTCATTTATAGTCCTTGACCGGTACTTCATATCTTTAAATCTATTTCAGATTTGTTCTTTGGAAATATCCTTTATTTATCTATGTAAGGAATATGTAATATAACATCATAAATCATCACACGTAGAAAATTATATCAACTAGCACTCACTTCACGCGAAGATATACGTTTTGTTAAAACTCCAAATTTTCTCATAACATACACTTTTAAACCACTTAATTGCTTTACTAGGTTTATATGGAGAGAAGTTCTTCCCTTCGTCTTTTGTTCCTATATAACTTGGTGCTCCCCTTACATGGCCAAAGTCTGAAAAACCTTACAGCTGGGCAAGCCCAAAAACTCCCAAAACGATCGAACAGTAGGCCCATAAGCTTCTCCCAACTATCCCAAAACACAAGGACCCACCAAAGCAAAGCAAAGCAAACTCGGTCAAAATCACGGCACATGCACGCAGATCATAGCTCGGACATGACTACGTGTAACATACAACAGAGGGTACAAACGTACATGAGATCCGTATTGAAGAACACAAGAGAGGTACTTGCGCCAAGTCCTGGATGCCTTGTCAAGATATCATTGTACAAACATATGGGAATATAGGGTCGGCAGTTCTTCCCATTCCAGGATCTCATCTTCGTACGTGGGTCCTAACATGGTGTTAAGAAATCAGGGTATGCCCCGTTGGTATGGAGAATTGAGGTTTTGAAATGACTGTAGAATTTGTAAAAGTGAAAAATAAGGCAAGAGAGAACAACAAGAGTAACAAACGAACACGTTTATATTGTTCCAAAGATTGAGTATTTGTTTAAATCACAGGTAAAACATATTGAAATATGAAGAAATGAGAGTCATTCGACGAACAAATTCATTCAGTGGCACTTCAACAATTGTCAAGTTATCTATGTATTATTACACATTGAAGGTATACGACAAGTCATCATTTCTACATCAGTTATTTCAAGGTTATTGTAATGTTGAAACGTTAAAGTAGAATGTGGAATGGGAAAAATTCACTGCAATAAAAAAATTATCTTGGCTGAAGGTATTAACATAAAATGGATATATGTAAAAACTTCATCAGGGCTGCACCCCGCTTCAGTGGAAACAGTCTATTTTCACCTCTTGAAATCAGCCGGTGGAAAAATTATTAGAGTCGTCCGAACAAACGGCAATACGTTCTTCGGTGGATCTACTAGAGATCTTGATCGGGAGATGATATAGGCAAAGAGATGTAGAAAGAAGCACGTTGTTCGTCCGGAATCGAACAGCGGACTTTCTCAAGGAGTCAGATTACTGTCCGTCTGTTAATCTGAGCACGTAATTGATCGATACCAAACGAACTCCTCGTGATCAACTCGAGGACTTGGTCAGTAGGAGGACGATTGCAGCTCGGCACTCTTCACATTTAGACACGGTGAGAGTGCGTACGAGAAATTCCGGGGTTCATGACGGTTCCGTTGTCCAGCCATATTCTTCTCTTGACGCATAAAGTCATCATCGAGCTCATCATTCATGCCAAAATAAGACCCCGATCGGTGGGAACCCGGATGAGTCGACAACCTCCCGAAATGTGTGTGTCCTCTGGTTCGCAAATTTCTTCGCTCCGGCTCCCACACTCTCTCGGCCTACCACTAGAAAGGATGCAATTCCCTTCGAGTGGCCACGTGTTTGCTGTAGATGCGTCTCATGAAGGTGAGCTGAGCATTAATGGCATGGAAGCAGGAGGCCCCGAGAGGGAAGTGATTTGTATCACGTATCATCACCTGCGGTTGCATATATATGCCGCCATCGTCACCGAAGGTGGCATCCTTCCAAGTTTGGACAGGCGGCGGAATTCTAAATCTGGCGCTGCCGACGATCCTCTGCAGGTCGAAGCGGCCTTGGAGATCCCACAGCTCGAGAGACGGTCGGAGGACCGAACTGCGGCATCGAGAGAAAGCTTCATACGCTCGCTCGTGACTCTCAGCGAGTAGTCGTGAGTTCCAGGGAACTTGGATTGATTGAGTTCGGCTGAGTCCGAGAATCGGTGATGTCCACGATGAATTTCAAAGCTCTCTCTGCTTGTTGCCTCATGCTTCTACTGCTCGGGGATGGTGCCCGTAGCTTGGCCGCGACGGTGATAAACGTACGTCTAGATGGAAGTGGAGATTACACAACAGTTCAGGAAGCGGTTGATGCTGTACCCACTTCGAACAAAGAGCGAGTGACGATTCGAATTTTCTCCGGGATCTATTTGTGAGTTGAAAAACTATCGTCCCCCTCGCCGTCAGAATTGTGGCCGCACCCGCACGCAGATGAAGCCTTAATTCGTTTCGTGTTGATAGAACGATCCGCGTTCAACCATGACACTGTCACTACTGGTAGTTCACTTGCTTGGAAATTACATGGGTCCCTCGAAACTGTCAGAGATCCGCAAGCCTCGTTGACTGTGGTCGAAGTTTGCGCACTGTGTATGCTCAATTTCTGTGACCATGCTAGTCTGCAACACGGGCATGCAATTAATTATCTTGTGTATGGAGGCAGTCGTTTGGTGAATTTCATTCCTACGTGCAGGGCAGGGGAGCCCGATGGCGCATCGTTTCACGTCAATTTTGTCCTCTCTTTATGCCTTGTCATATCTGTCAGAATGAATATTCATCAAGTTTTGGTGACGTCCTGATGCAGGGAAAAAGTGTACATTCCCAGCAACAAGCCGTACATTACTTTCAAGGGGTATGGGCTCACAACGCCGGTTATATCGTGGAATGACAACGCCACAACCGCCGGGTCAACTTGGGCCACGAGCACTGTTGCCATAGACGCCAAGAATTTTATTGCCAGGAGGATTTCTTTCAAAGTAAGATACAGAAAACAACAGCAACGAGTGAAGTGCAGGTCGTATATGTCTTTCTTAGTCAGCTAATATGTCTTTCTTTCTCCTCCAGACTCCGTCTGGCTTATGAGTTTATTAGCGTGATGCTGCGTTGCGGGAATATAGACGCACGAGCGTAACATAGCTGAACCTGACGCTCGAGGAGGATTGAAAATTGGTGTAATCTGAATGCTTGAGTGGGTTGACCTTGTGGTCTTGAAGAATACTGCTCCTCCGCCAGCAGCGGGTGCAAGTGGAGGTCAGGCCATAGCGTTGAGAATCTCGGGTGACAAGGCAGCGTTTTATAATTGCGAATTCTGGGGAGCACAGGACACTTTGTGCGACATGCAGGGTCGCCATTACTTCAAATCCTGCTTCATCCAGGGATCTATCGATTTCATCTTCGGCAACGGGCAATCTATCTACACTGTGAGCTTTACTCGACGTGCTTTTGACCACTTAAGCCTGCTTTCAGGGAAACATGATGTTTAGTTGTAGAGAAGTGCCCACGCGTTCAAACCAGCTGTTCGTCGTTCACCTGAAAGCCACGGCCAAATCAAGGAGAACAGTGAATACCATGAACATGAGGTTGAGAGAGGACCAATTACTTCACAGACGATTCTATCTTCGCTGATCTTCTATGGAATTGTTTCAACTTTTGTTAAATTTAAGTTTTAATTAAACCCGGATGAATTCTACTATATATTTGATTTTTCCTTCATTTTATTTTAGTTTTGTTAAAATTTGAGACCTGTGTGCAACAGGGATGTCATATTAACTCCATAGCGAAAACAGCAGGATCCATAACTGCTCAGTATCGGCAGAGCACCACTGACGTGACAGGATTCTCTTTCGTCAACTGTAATGTAACCGGGACTGGCTCAGTGTATCTGGGACGTGCATGGGGATCTGCTGCCAGAGTGGTTTTCTCTAGCAGTGTCTTGGGTAGCCTCGTCAACTCACGCGGCTGGAACGATTGGAACAACGCCTCCCTAGACTCGTGAGTGCCATCATCCTATTCTTGCCCTAATAACTCACTTCTCTAATTAAATGTTGGAAGAGGTTCTGCTGAATGCTACCAGAATGTTTCTGGGTGCTTAACGAAGGTCCTGTAAAATGTTCCATTGCAGAACTGTGTACTTTGGAGAGTACAATAACACGGGGCCCGGAGCTGACACATCTAAACGCGTGAGCTACTTTTACAATCTTTCAGAGGACGAGGTGACGAGTTTCGTCGATTTAAGCTTCATTAGTGCCAATGATTGGTTCGACTCGACCATGTACTAGGTCACCCAATCTTTGTAAAATCTCTATTTATACATTTAAACCTAGATTTAGACATGAAGAAATTGACGAGGATCATTCAAGTTAGCAACCATGTACTAGCGACCTTCAACATGTCATCCAGTTACTTTATGTACACTAGATTTAAATCTTAGTATCGATATGAAACTAGGATCAATGTTCGTGGGTTTGTGGATTTGGCTACAGCCAAGATTGCAATAAAAACGGGCTCTCCCTCTTGTTGCCAGTCGACTTCATTGTATGGATCTGGTGTGGGGTATGTAGCAAGGACCTCGTTAGGTAGCATCGAATACGCACGATTCAGTTGTGTCCATGTGTGAGGAACTTCTGAACCTGCGAAAGACTCTACTGGACATGGGTTATCAAGCCACGTGCAAAAGAAATTGGAATCCGAGCTCGCTGCGAACACTGGTTGCGTCGAAACAAAGTGCATACTTACTCGATGCCACAACCGAGCACACGTTTCCACCGGAGCTTGCAGTGGCAAATCTGGCTGAATCTCTCGAGAACGATCACGTCGGCAGTCATGTCCGATATACACTGTCGAGATCTAAAGCCTGCCAAGAAGTCAAGGATCGTACGAAGTACTTTATACGACCGGGAATGTCCCAAGGATCCGTCGATGTCTGGAAAGGAGAAGGATATGGTCAGACTGAGAAAGACATTGGCCTGTGCATTCCAGCTGACAATTCCACAGAAAGCAGAAGGTACGAGAAGGCCTCTCTAGACAAGCTCGCGTACAGGCAGAGTGGCAATCTAAGCTTTCGACGGATCCATTCTTCCCTCACGAATACAGCTGCTATGGAGGTTTCACACCAGCAAGCTCAGGAAAGCTTCAGCCTTGGTCGTCGTATGATGGAGCTTGCGGCTTTTTGTTCACCATCAGTACGCAGAACGGACAAGCGGCCCCACAAGGCGGTGAGAGAAGATGCAAATGTGCCAAATGAGGCTCGCATCACGTCTTGCTTTGAGGTCTGGTGGGTCTAGCTCACTCACCGAGTGGGGTTGACTTGGTGGTGTCTAGCGCATCCGGAGGAACATGATCGTAGCAGGTGTTATCGATGACGTCGACTTTCGTGCAAGCAGACATTGTAGTAAGGAGCACTTTCTGGGATGGCAGATTGCTAGAGTCGAGAAAATTAAAATACTGGGAAGAATCTGGTGCACAGTTGAAGAATAGGCTTCTTCTCATCAGTCTGAAAGAAGGGTGGCAAGCTGTCGATAACTGTTTGAATTTCCATCTGGCCACCGAACCTCGCCTGAACTGTTGAGTCTAAATTTGACCGAGTGAAAGGAAGGCAGGGTGTACTAGATCTGGGGAAAATCCACGCGTTGGGACAGCTAGGGAAGCTGGACCATGAAGGGAGGAAGGGAGGGAAACGAGGAAGTGGGTGCTCTGATGAGCGCCATGATTTCAGTCCTGCAACAGAGCGAGCCTGGAGAGCTGAAGGTCCGCCACATTCACTGCAATGTGCACTGTGGTCGTGCCGATTCCGCTCACACTCGGAGCACAGAAATGAGTATAACTCAGCCGGGGAAATCAGCAATCGCAGCTCTCTCAGTTCTGTCTGCCTCTCCCCCTGAGAGACAAAAGAACTCTGAGAAAGGATCGTCCCCTACGATCAGAATCATAGATCTAGAACCGAACTAACTGAAGCACATTGTAGCGCGTGCATTCACCCAAGATGGCGAAGGTGGGCGCCTTGGGATTGGCTTGGTTGTGTTTCGCTTTGCTCGCCACGAGTTCCCATGCGGATCCTAAAGCCATTCCCATAGATGCTATAGAAGTTGTTCCCCCAGGCACCCCCGTAGAAAGTCCTCCTTCTCCTCCTGCTAGTCCTCCTCCTCCACCAGCTACCGTAGGCTCTCCAGTATTTGCTCCCATTGCTCCCATTGTTGCTCCGATTTCCGGCCCAGTTTCCAGTCCACCCGCTGTAGGCAAGGTTATGTTCTGGGATGAATTCTACACCAACTTTGGAGATAAGAACACAGTCTTTCCCGGAACTCCAACTGGAAGCACGATTCAGCTTGGTCTCGACAACACCACTGGTACAATTCTCATCCATGCTCACTGACGGTTTTCAAATGCAGATGAGGGTCTATTTTGAAGCAGTTTTCTAAATTGGTTCCCTCTTTCAATTACCGGACTTGACAGCTGCTGCCACACTTGGCTTCATGCTCTGCAAGCTTGGTTCTGACTATCTGAGTGCCTGATGTTTGTGGCAGGATCTGGATTCCGATCCAAGTACCCTTATTTGTATGGCCACCTTTCCATGAAGCTCAAGCTTGTGGGCGGTAATTCGGCCGGTACCGTGACGTCCTACTATGTAAGTTGCAGTGCTTGGCTTTCGCCAATTCAGTTGATTTACCCTACGAGGACTCCTGTGCTCAATGGCAACAGTCTTAGCTCACAAGTCTGTGGAAAATTTCAAATTCGAGCCAAACCATCTCATTCATGAGAAATTCGTTTGCAGCTGGCTTCAGTCTTCACGAAATGGTGCGAGCTCGACTTCGAGTTTCTAGGAAATGTGTCCGGCCAGCCCTACATTCTGCAGACCAATGTGTTCTCGGAAGGAAAGGGAGACCGCGAACAGCGAATCTACCTCTGGTTCGACCCCTCTGCCGACTACCACTCATACGGAATTCTGTGGAACGAGAAGCTCATCCTGTGAGTACCTCGACTTCTCCATCCATCCACCACGACGAACTCATCGACTTTAACTTTCTGAAATTGTGCAGCCGGTCTAGCGATCGCCCATGTTCTCATCCATGATTTTGCAAATTGCGCATCGTGCAGGTTTTTGGTCGATGATGTTGTGATCCGAGTCTACCACAACGTTGCCGGCTTGGGATCAGAGTACCCTCCTTACTTGACCTACCAGCCCATGTACATCTACTCCAGCATCTGGAACGGAGAGAAGTGGGCCACTCGGGGAGGAGCTGACAAGACCGACTGGAGCCAGCAGCCATTCCTGGCCTCGTACACTGAGTTCGACGTCGAGAACGCCTGCAAAGTGAAGGGAGAGAACGACAACGAGATCAACGTGTGCAACGAGCAGCTGAAGACCAGCTCGTACAACGACGCCGCTCACCAGACGCTCACCGATGTGCAGATTGAGGATCTCAGGAGAACCAGGGACCAGTACATCATCTACGATTACTGCACCGATGCCAAAAGGTTCAACGTGACTCCCGTCGAGTGCGCTATCAACTGGCCCTGATGAGAACCTCCACGAGGACGAATCGCTCAATTAAAGTAACCACTTTTTCTGAAGCTACGATTGGCATTCATTCTACTTCAATCCAGTAGAGTGCGAAATTCTGACCAGCCGGATCCGGGAGATCTGCATGTTCGTGATCGGTGAACGGTGGTGTGGCTGGTCAGCAACAAAGCTCACCTGCAAGTGATCTGCGATTTCGTGTATTTTTATTATTTTGTCTACCTCTCCGATATCGATTGATGAATAAAACGGATTCAGGATTCAGGCTCTAGGAGCTGGTCCACATTCACAAGCCAAAATTACAGTCGATTATGATGGACTAGTATCTCGAATGGATCCTTGCTTTCATGAATTCCATTGTTGTGCTATGGGACATATATTCAGTGTATGAGTGAGGAGTGCCCCTCTCTCTCTCTCTCTCCAAATCTGCTTCGACTTCTGTTGATGCGCTGCTTCATTCCCTCGAATTCTAGTTTCTGTTGCACCGGCCAATTCCTACAATGTCAATGATATCTTCGTTTGGGATATTTAATCAACTGCTGATCAGTAGAAATCGAGCTGATTCTTCAACGCAAGAACCAGTCTCATACGTATCGAGTTGCAGTTCGGGGTATCCTCCGACTTGAGTGAATGCATCACCGATCATGGTCGCGTTTTGACGGCTGTCAGCAGGTTGACTGTATTTTTTTACTCTTATTCGGTTATAAAACTCTTCGTGGCGGAAACCTGGAGATCAAGCGTTGGCTCTTACCAAAAGGATGCGCTCCATCACCGACTGCCTGAAATATGTTGCCTACGTGAGACGCAGCACGTGGCCGTCCACGTCGTGAACTCTGAGCAGAAGCAGGGAATCAGGATATGGGCGAGAATCTTGTTGAGGTCAAGACCTCCGTGACCAGGGAAGTTCCTATTAAACAGCTTGAACTGTGAGTTCGGTTCCACATCTCCAGAGGGCTGTCCCATCGATTGATAACGATAACGATCCCATTTTTGTGAGGCTCAGCCAAAAATAAATTCGCTATATACACATAAAACGTAAATTTATCCAATTTGGGAATGCGGCATTGAAAAAATAGAGGAACGCATGGCATCTACAGGATTACGTGTGTTCGCGGGCTCTGACTATTCAACTCACCAATTCAACTTTCATAAAAGACATATCTATGCAAATAAATAAAACGGTGCAAAAACTTAAAAACTGCAAGGTAAAAATTATTGTCAATTGATATCTGTTTCATGTAGTTTAAAAAATTTCACATTGACGTCAAGATATTGGAAATAGGAGATATCATTTTGGAACTTTATGTCCTAAAACTTGCAAACAAATCTAATAAATATCATTCAGTTTTTATTTTTTAATAAGAAAAATTCTCTCTTTTTTTAACATGAATTATTTTTTTCTCTTTTATGTATATATCTCATTAAACCGTGTATTCAAGTGCATTCTCTAGCCAAGATATCTCTTTCAATCTTGTATGATTTACAATAAATCTATTTATCTATTACAATAACTATAATAATGCAATACGTAATAGCGAAAAAAGAGAAAATTTAAAATTTTTTAATTTTTTTAAAAAAAATATTACATTGAAGAAAGCATATCTTCGAATATCATCTAAAAAATATTGAAAATTTAATTTTTTTCTTTTTTATTTAAACTTATTTAATACTATCATTTCTATTTTAAATACTATTATTTTAAAATTTCATTTGGTCATGACATTTTTATGTATATAAAAATGAAATTATAACTCGTTAGATTACATTATTTTTGGTGAAATCAAAACTCATAATATAATAATTTTGGTATTCTACATTTTAGATGTAAAATTTAGAATTATTTTCTTACTTGAATATATAATTTCATGTCTATAATTATATAGAAATATTACTCTATAATCATTGGAATTTATGAACTACAATGCGATTTTCAATCAGGATAGATTTTGTTCATTCAAAGCAAATTTTTTAAAAAATTTGCTTTATTTTTTTACTACTTCGATTGACATAACAATATATTCATCATGGTGGCCAATATCAATATCAATTTATATATTTTTGTATAATGTGCACTTCTTCAATACCACAAATAAACTCAAGAACTTCATACCCTTAAATCATTCAATAGGTGATTAATATTATCTTGTTGATCATATGTATGAAGTTTGAAGCCTTAAAACACTTTAAGCTCTACACTACTTTATTTCAAGTGGATTTATTTTTCGTCATCATATATGTTTAAACTTCAAGAAATTAGACCATTTTTGGTCAAAAATTTTCTCCATCGAATTATACTGATAATAGTAGAACAAATATCTGAAACTATTTAGATGAGCTCCAACATTTTATTTCCTGGTTGATCTCAATGTGATGTAAACGTACAACAGTTAGGCTTGAACATTTTCACCTTTCAATCATCATCCTCAACTTACATATTGCTTGTGTGAAATAGAACTGATTGTCTTACAATCTGGCTAAACACAATTTCATCATATGTTTCATGCATCATCAAAATCACAAATGGGCTTCACTTTCAGTTGATAGGTCATTGAACGTATTGCATCGAGTTGTTTGACAACATGGTGAATAGGCAACTGCGGGTCATGGGTTTAGAGCCACATGTAATCATTTGCAGGTACTGATATCAAATTCGAGTATTTTTTAGAGTGTACTCTTCTCTGTTCCCGCTATTTTTAAAACTCTCGGACCTCATCTTTACTGTTTTCCAATCTAAAATATTTGATGTGCGCATTTCTGCGTACCTTTCAACTCAACCAGGATTAGAAGAATGTTTTCTGGACGGTGTGAGCTTTTCAGGAAATTCCCAATCTGGCAGATATACGACGCCTACAGGACGTCGTATCTGCACAGATGAAGGTGAGCAAGAATGCTGAAGACAGCAAGACAAGGAAAAATCTACTCGATCGGGATTTAGTTCTCCAAATCCACTCGTTGAACATTAAAGCTTTAGAAGATCATACCGCCCGCGGCGCCTCGCTCGAAGCTGCGGGGAATAATCATGTCGCAATGTGAGGGAAAACCAGAATAGCAAGATTCACATAAGTCCATTAACTACACACCCGAAATGCATCCAGATTCACATTCCCACCGAACACGACCAGAAATTAAGACGAAATTACGTATTTCACACGTTCCAGAATCAAAACAATTTTCGAGCATAACTGACAACCGAGTACCACAGCGAAAATGGCGGACGACTCCGTCAAAGAGAACGGAGTCCGAACAAAGTGCGAACCAAGTGAGAACACGGGGCTAGCGCCAATTATAGCTGGAGGTGGAGCCGCTAGTGTAGATCCGTCCGTTTGCGTGTTCCGCTGTCGGTTTAGCGCAAGCTCGGCTAAGATGTCCGAGGGCGCTGAAGATTCACGCGAAGCGACCACGGGGAGATTAGGTTGTCGGGGTCGTCGACGTGGTCGACTACGTGGTCGTCGTCGTAGGCGAGTCGTGAAGCTTCGCGGAACCTCGAGCTCAGTCAGAAGGAGGGAGGGAGGCGGGCGAGAATTCTCGGGAGGACGGCGAGCAGAGCGCTGCGCTGGGCGACGTCATGGACTCGACATTTGCCGGTCGAATGATTCTCGAAGTCGTTAATTATCGTTCTTGGTAGCAGGTCCTGCAGGCGTGGAGGCTCCAGGTCTTTATATGGACGTGTAGGCGAGCGGGGCGGGCTTGGAGATTTTTGCGGAAGGTGGGGTGCAGGCTTGCCAGGCTTCCGCGCTTACAGGGACCGCGTCATCGACGCAGTGCGAATTTTCGACGAGGAATGCGCTGTAGTTGCATGGTGTGAGGTGCAGGGATCGGTGGAAGCGAAGTGTTTGGTCGAGCTTGTTCTGCACAGATAGATTGAGGGCAGTATCTGGGACGGAGTGTCGAGCCTGTGGGCAATTTGGACGCTGCTTCTTGAGCGATTGATTCTGGTTCAGATGGCATAGCGAATTTGTTATGTCAACAATTCCTCCCGTCGCACAGGAACAGCAGTTTCAGTTCGGGGAGGTCCATCCCGTTCAAGATGACGGCGAACTCTGCCGCATCTGCCTTCGGGCCTGTTGCTTCGGCAGGCTCGGCGCAGACGGGCCCGAAATTCTCATGGGTTCTTGTGAAGAAAATGTGGCGCGTGGGCATTATGTATTTCAAGGGCGATAAGAGGAAGAAAGCTTGTACCTTGCTGGCCGTCGTCCTTACTCTCTGCGCCATCTGTGCTGGTGTGCCCAAAGCTTGCTCCCTCACTGTTTTTTTTTAAAAGGAAGTTCGTTGGAAGTGGAGTTGACTTTTCATTCAAGAAAGAATTCTATATCTGTTTAGTTTCTGAGTTTTTGTATCTTGGCTTTGAATGAGGATACCCTCTTCCACAGAAATACAGGACGCTTAAGTGAAGTGTTTTCTGATCTGGTTATCTGCTTAAATTTGGCTCTTATACAGGGAGGCACTTGTATCCCATTGTTTTCTCTAGGCATGCTGGAGCTATGGTCTGAAGCCTTCTTGTTTTCTTTCAACTGGATTTTGTAGGAATGTTCGTAATATTCTCTTATATCCAGAGGGATTTCTCCACGGCCATCTCGGAGAAGAACGTGGAAGGATTTCATCGAGCCGTCATGAGGTTCATCGGCATCGTCATCATTGCAACCCCTTTGTTCGCTACTTATCATTATTTGCAGGTTTGTCAGTCTCTGATATCCATCAGAATGATATCTCCATGTCTACAAGTAGATCACAGGAATCGATCACCATCCTTAGTTGATTTCAGCTAGCCTTTTAATTTGGAAAGCTCTTGACAAATTCTCAAAATCAACGATCGTATTTTATTTCATATTTTGAGACAGAGGACGATGGTTTCTTCTGAATTTTATAACCGACGACAGACTAGCGCTGGAGAGTAGTCTCATTTTTGCTATGTTTCCATCAATTATGCAGGATCTCTTAGCTCTCGAGTGGCGTATTTGGTTATCGGATCTGCTTCTGTCCAACTACTTCTGTACGAATTCTAAAACCCTGGTCAGAAGTCCCTTCTTATGGTTTCTAGCTCTAGTCTGTGCAGGTAGTCTGAGTAGCTTGTTTAGTCCTACAGTCTCTGCCTTGATTGGAACATCGTACACACAAAATTCTTCGAAACATGCCTTGCACCAAGTGCTCTTCTGCATGCTAACGGATCTTGATCAGATTGCCAAAAATTCTTTCATTTGTGAATATTATTAATTGGTGCTGAGTTTGTTTTCGTGATCTTGACGTGGATGGTTTTGAAGCCAACAGGGCATATTTTGATTTGAAGATGGAGGGCAAGCTTGACAATCCTGATCAACGTATCTGTGAGGATGCGGCCAGTTTTGTGAGAAACAGTGTCGAGATTATTGCCCTGATTGGCAGTAAATTCTTGAACATATGTGCATTTACGGGTGTTCTCTGGTTGGTTTCTCCAACTCGCTTCACTTTCGCTTCCCTTCAGAGAACTGAGAGAATGGGAAAAGCATGTCATCTCATACTCTTTAATTGTTCGCTGTAAAGTTTTTGCTCGGATATGATTCAATATTGCTCCGAATTCTGATGTCAGGCAATGTTGGTCCTTGCTCTAGGTCCATAGCTCCAGAGTTGGTTTACTTTCTTCTTGGATACTCTGTAATTGGAACGTATGTGACAGTTCGCCTGTTCGGCAAGAAACTCATGCAGCTGCAATTTCAGGTGTCTTTGAAACGCCACCCCTTGACGCTGTGCTTTATCATCAGCTTTCTTATAACCTTCCCTTTGCTGGCGAAATGTCTTTATGTTATAAATCAACGTGCTGAGTTTCTCATTTCAATTCAACACTGCGTATTTTTTTACCTGTACTGAAGGAGTCTTTTGGCTGCCTTTGATTATCTTATCTCTAGGTGAATTTAGGAGTTGATGGTGAACTGGCAAGGCCATGTATAAATGTGTTACTTGAATATATTGATGAAACAATTTAACATTTAATGATTATGTTCTATGATTGCAGGGCCTACAAAGGGAAGCTGATTTCAGATACTCTTTGGTTCGGATTCGTGACAACGCAGAGTCCATTGCGTTTTATTCAGGAGAAACACATGAAGCAAAAACCATAAAGGTCAGAAGGATGCCTCATGATGTAATGATATATAAAATCTGATTCTAAGAGCTGAAGCCTCAAAGACTGGAGTCGGATGTGATTACGTTTTGCTGGAATACTGCTCGACCAAGCCAAAACCGAATCCGGATGCCAGAGCTAAAACGATCTAAGTGCTGGTTGTTCAATCGGGAGTGCAGGGTTTCTTCTCAGCCCTGATAGCAAATTCGCGAGACCTTATTTTATGGCGTCGTCATTTGGGCCTCTTCAGTAATGCCTACGAGTTTTCAATGCTAGTTGTGCCTTCTATCATAATTGCCCCGCGGTACTTTGCTGGAGAGGTACGTCGTGCAACTGATTGTTGACGTCAAGATGCATTTGATAAAATATTTCCAACCACAGTAAAGAACTCAGATTTTTACCCAAGGTGAGAGATTTTTTTTTAGTGATTGTTTACGCCTAAGACATTTTGACTTTTATTGGCCTCTACTTTGAATAATAAGTAAGGGCTATAGTGTCAGTTACTGCAGTACAACAGATTTATAAGTTGAGTGCTTGTTGAATGCAGGTAGAGTTTGGTGTTATCGCTCAAACGGGGTTCGCCTTCAACCGCATCCTCCAGGCTTTATCTCTGATCGTCATGAGATTTGACAATTTTAGGTATCGATTGCCCCTTTCGTGCACACTGAACGGTGGCTTTTTGGAGATAAATGAAAGACCCACCATCTTGAAAAGAAGTTACCAGTCATGTACATTGCTGACGCGAACGCGTGCGTTTTATCCCGATGAAGTGGTGGTCCTAGAGTCTGTGGATGTATATCTTTCTGCAATGTCTGTCTCTGTCACTCCGACGGTGTTTTTAGAACCTCTGGTAGCCTTACACCCTTCCAAGGTGTCTTCTGTTGGAACGTGCTTTTAACCTAGAGAGTAGATAGAAGCACATCATCCGTGTTTGCATCGGGAGATGTATTCTGAGAAATCCTCGATTGCATGCATGCTGCGTACTTCGGTTCCCTTGACTCTTGACACTTGCCTTTGGTCCAAGAATGAAGAACGATTTATTTTTATGTATGGCAGTGGACTTGCAGCTCAAACAGAGCGTCTGGATAGTCTGATAACTAGCCTTGGGAAGCACACTGGTGACAAGCAGCTACTACAGCAGACTTCTCGGAAAAGCTCACCTTCTCAGCTGAAGGACATGGAGGAAGAACAAGCCAGCGAGGGTGACTTCCTTCTCGACGTTCCGGAGAACGGTTACAGTTCTGGTACAGAGTATTCTTCAATAATTCCCCCTGGCACACACGTCTCTTAGTAGGTTATGGCAAGTCATTGCCCAAGTGCATTCCATGAGCATGATGAAAGTTGTGTCTTTCTTGAAAGCTGTCTTATCTTTGCGCATGTCCTTGTATCGGCAACACTGCAAATGTTGGTCAGAGAATGGATCACTTATTCGAACCCGTAATGTCGGTTGTCCAGGAAAATTTTTACGTGATGAGGGCCCTGGACTTTTAATGAAGGACCTCTCAGTAACCACCCCTAACATGAAGAACATGATAATCAAAGATCTCAACGTTTCGTTGGCTCCGGGCGAAACTCTGCTAGTCATGGGACCTTCAGGTTGTGGCAAGTCTTCTCTTCTCCGCGCCATTGCAGGTCTGTGGAACAGAGGAAGCGGTCTGTTGCAAGCGCCGCCCCTGTCTGAAAGCCTTTTCCTCCCCCAGAAGCCCTATTTGCCACTGGGACCCCTTCGTGAGCAGCTGCTCTTTCCTGGTAAGAAAGGGTCTCACCACACGGAGATAGACCTTTTCAATGTATTGCAGTCGGTTGCTCTCAGTGATCTGCCCGGGAAGGTAGGAGGCTTGGATACAGTATGCGATTGGGGAGGTATCCTGAGTGCAGGAGAGCAACAAAGGCTGGCCTTTGGCAGGCTCTTCTTGCATCAGCCTGAAAAAGCTTATTTGGATGAAGCTACGAGCGCTTTGGATGCAGTGAACGAAGCCAGGTTATATTCCCTTTTACAGGAGACGGTTCCCATGTACGTTTCAGTTGGACACAGGCTTTCTTTGGTTAAATATCACACGCATGTTCTGGAGTTCATCGAGGATGTGGGATGGAGGTTTTACAATCGAAAGGAGTTTGAAAACTCACGTTATCCTACCTCTTAGAGAAACTAGTTAGAGAGTTTACTTTCTTTCATCAACAACCATTCATTGGATCAGCAAAATTGAGGCCAGATTCTTTAATGGCAGTCTCGAGCTACAATTAGACAACACCACCTGTAGGTAGAGAATCTTCTGTCCAGAGGCTTGTGAATTTGCCGGATGAAATATCCAGTGTCAAGATGGTTCAGTAGACGTTACGCCATGGCCGAATGAGATTGTCAGCTTAGTAAAGTTCTCTTCCTTTCCTATCTTGCACTTCACAATCCGAGGTATTATTACACCTCTCCGAAACCGTTTTTTAATGCGCATGTTCTCAATTTTTAAGTGATCTCTTTGGAAGTTTCAAACTGTATAGTGCAGTTGTGCGTAAGACTGTTCCAACAGATATGGTCGCCTGCAATTTCGCCTACTCTTTTTCTATTTTCGTATACTGTGGAGGATCTTCAGGGTTTCTTTCGTTCTGTATGATGTTTAATCATTAATTTAATCTGTGATGCGTGAAAGGCTAAGTTTCACAAGTTAATAATAACCTTGTTTGGGTTCTGTTATTAGCACTTGAGTGAAAGGTTTTATGGGAAGGAAGCATATAGAGAGAGGAAACACGTGGAGTTGAAGAGCCTCATGCACCGTAACTGAAACATTCCCTCATTATTTATTACATCGTTCAGTATAATCTGTTGGCGACAATTGTTTCGTTGTTGATCAATTGATTGTTTTTCTTAATACTTGTTTTCTAATAAGTCACTAAGTTTTCTATATATTTTCTTGCTTGATTATTGATCTTATTATTTGATGATGAATATGTATGTCTCGTAAATTTTTTTACCTGTATTTACATCACCGTAAGTATACATTAGTTCTTGAATGACTTTGTAGCACTTTACAATCATTTATCAGCCGAGATATTTCCCAAGTATTTGAACTCAACTGTTGATCATGGTAAGCCCCATGCAAAGTCTACTGCGTATTATCAATGTTCGCGAATAGGCAATAAATACCACGCTTCTTCCATAACGATGGTACGGTATTAACACGGCGAAGTAAAGTTCACGTAATAACTTCATAACGGCAGAAAAGTACGAAGTTTTGTGAGAGCAAGTTCTGAAAGCATGTGGATGAGAGTTTCTATTTCAGCTAGGCGAAAATAGTACACCTTAAAACCATTCGGCACTCGACCTAGTAACATCGGCGTAACATCCAGTTCTTGTAGTAAAGATGTCCACTTATATAGAAGGGAATAGCAGTGGTCCGGGTGTTCCAGGTGAAAATGCAAAGAAGCTACGCTCGTCTTGTATGAATCAGCCCGACTGCAACAGTGACCTAATCTTGGGTGCAAAATGTTCGAAGAATTTTGAACGAGAACAATGTAATGCACTTCTCCTTCCTGGTGCTTCTACGTAGGCATCTGGTGAGCTAGATTTATCGGCAAAAATCTAACAAAATCACACCGAAGACGCAGCAAACTCGGACAACAAAGAAGATTTCCTCCATTCAGGTTGATTGGGGTCATAATTTTAGATGGATCGGATCCAGTCGCTCGTCCTTCGAGTTGCGAAGAGCAGGGAATCCTATCCAGAGTCGATACATCCGACTCTTCTTAAATCATTAGCAAGTTGAGAGGTGTGAATTACATACGTGTGTCTTTATTCCTGGGGAGAAGTAAAACAAATAAATGGATTTGACGTATCTGGTGAAAGAATAAAGTAGGAAAACTCTCCTATAATACAAAGAAAATGTCCGCATTGATGACGATAATGATGCCTCCGGGTACACTTAAGTACAAGCAACTCTCTTCTCCTTTCGTCTCATCTATACTCCTGTGATGTACAAAACCCCAAACCTAATGTTTACACAAAAATCATGACTAGCAGAGCCTCACTTTTACAGTACAGTACTAAACAAACGCTAGAGTTCAATTGAAACTTGATTACATTATGGGCAGATATGCACCCCCATGACCTTTCCTCAGAATTAGGGGGCCAGCAGTGGCAGGCATGATATCAAGTGTGCGCATGCAGGCATCCACGACCTCTGAAAATCCCGTAGCAAAAGTTGCAAGTTGTAGTCGATCCTTCACATCACGAGTGTGTTTCAAGAGTGACCTGAATGACTTTTTCATATACATAGCCAGCTCCAGCGGCACCCCTCCTGGAGCAAGCCACCTTGAGCTGGATGCTTGATCACCACCTCTAGCCGTCAACTCTGATCGATAAAATCGTGAAATCTCCAAGAGCATATTGTGCGTCAGTGGCAACGCTGCAATAAAATCATTCAAAAACTGGTCGATGCGTCCGGGCACAAGCATTTGATTCCATATAACCAAAACCCATTCAGCTGACTGATTCAACGAATAGGCTTCGGCTACAATCAAGGCTTCCTGGAACCGAGGCCGATCAACAAGCAAGCACCGAGCGGCAGTGTCATTACGCTTCAGCCAATCAATCTCTGGAAGTCTCAACTGAAGGGAAATGAGTTGGGCCTGCGCGCAGCACCACCTGGTCTTGTTCCCCGCTTCTAAACCCGAGTATACTCTCGCTGCTTCTACAAAGAACTTCATAATGTCTAAGTATTCCTGCGTCTGATCTGCTTCCCCATTCGGTTTCTGAGTGCACTGTTCAAGCAAATTTATACCTCTACTTTCCAGTAAATCAGCCATCTCAAAATTCATACTGAAGTTGCTGTAGACCTGAGAAAAAAAATTTACAATGTCGTTAGCATGATCACAATGTATTGATCACCGAAGGCGATCAAATCGTTGAGAGGTTAGCCTCGAGTTGAAGCTATTTAAACAAAAGAGGACTAGGGTGAAAACAGTCAGCAGAATGTAGATCAGTATAAAGTCTGCTTCATGAGTGAGGTATACGAACCATAGCGAAAGCATCTTGGTCAAGAGGATTGAAGTGTTTCAGCGCAGATAATACTGCCATACGGAACCCTCGTACAGAGGCAGAAGACTCCAAAGCGGGATCCACAACTGCACGTTTTTTGAGCAGAAGCTCTAATTGCCCGTTCTCAATGAGCAGATCCAGAATGAAACGTAAAGACTGGAAATTACTGATGCCAGTTACCAGGCGTGCCAGTGATGAAAAGTCCCCTTCAGATACATAGGAGTCTACCCGTGTAGCCGCTAGTGCCACCAAAACGTCGACTCCGTCGAGACATGCAGAAGACTCGTAGTACTGATGGGCTAAGATAATAAGTTCCACCTGCCAAAAGAAAAGAGATGAACTTGAGCTCGTTGTAGACAAGAACTATTTCCAGATAGGACGATCTGAGGTCTAAGCCGCCAAACCAGACGCTGGATTGTTAAGCTAGTATGACACTCACCTCACAGGCATGGGGCATGTCTCGGCCACTTATGACGAGCCGCATGAGCGCATGACCAATTTCTGGCTCCGAGGGACAAACTTTTGCCCAACGTACAAAATCTGAAGGCCTCCAAAGGAGGGGAGCAGGGCCTTCCTCTCTCTGTTCGGAATCCATGTACCCGCCTCGGTGTGCAGCCAACAGACCCTAGAGACAAGGAAAAACGCATCCTTTCATTATTTGACTGGCTCTTTGCATTCCGAACAAGGTGAACACGATTAGGTAAGGTAGACTTCAGAGTAAAGCGGTAAGAAAGTACCTTCAAAAATGATTCTGCAAGTATACGGGCAATGCTTGCTGGAATCATAGTATGATTCGAAACCAGTACTTTTGCCTCCTCGAGGGCATCTTGACCCTTGAGAGCAAGAAGTTGTAGCAGCTGAGTGGGCTGTTTAGAAAATGCTTCATTGAAAGGCATCACAAGAAAGTTTGCGATCTGTGCTACAGCGGAAATTCTACGAATGAGGCCCCGTCCACAGCCCTCTCTACAGCCACTCATCAAAACTTTAAACACCTGCAGGTCGCAAAGAAACAGTCAGTTGAAAGGTACCACAGTCCACCGAAACATATGGCTTATCGGGAGCATCTGGTGGCGTGAGGAATGGACTGAGAAACCATTTCCTGGAAACATGTAGAAACTCACCTCCATTGGAGTAACTGATGATAGATCTTCAAGTAGCTTCTCAGACTTGAGATAGTCAACAATTGTCGGCTGAATTATGGACGTCGTGACAGCGCCTTTCGTTGTTGGAGTCGACAAGCCTGCTACTTGCAACGCAGCCTCGACGAGTGATAACTCGAGGGGCACATGTCCTGGTGAGAGCTTTTGCTGCAGTTGTTTTGCTGCAGAAACCTGCCCAACTTCTAAAAGAGCAAGAACGGCTCGTTCAACTTCTCGTTCACCGACTCTTTCCTCCCAGCTAGCGACAATGTCCTCCGCCTTCGGCGGAAGATCATCTGATACTGCTTCTTGACTCCCATTCTTCCGCTCTCCTCTTGCTCTCCCTGGACTATCCTCAGAATCACTGGCCGTGCTTTCTGAAATGTCCAAGTGAATGCGTTTGACTTGGGCTTGTTCCTTCGCACGGCGCTTAAACTTTGACGAGGCGGTCTTAGTTGGCGAAGAACCAGTGCCGGTATCTAGACTCTGAGCTCGGCCTAATCCTTCTGCATCCAACTTTCTAAGATTCGACCTCTTCAAGTGGCTGTCCACTACTGCGACTGCAACGGCGGTGCGATCTACTGGATTCACCGCAGCTGGATTGCTTGCGCATATTTCATGGCTTAGACCTCCGACAGGGGTAGATTGCATAGACACTAGCGACGTGGAGTACCTTCCATCCTGAGTTTCTACAGAGGATTCGACGGCAAGCAGCCATACTCGAGTCTCTAGTTCGTGGAGAAGATGCAAAGGATACACCCTGCCGTTCAAAGAGACAGTGCATTAGCCAACTGCATGAAAAATGCAATACGTAAAACAAATACTAGTTGATTTACAAAAGACGATAGATGAAAGTCCTACTCACAACCAGAATCATTTAGTCACTAAATTGAACTTGAAGGAGACGAGATGACAAATGAATCCAGAATAGAGCTTCCTTACGGGGAAGTGTTGGTGATTGAACCGCTCAACCACTGAAGAGCCAGAAGCAAGATATTGTGCAGTTCTGTAGATGAAACTTCAGCCTCTACCGCATCTGCATGCTTTAGAAAAAACTTTCCTGCCTGGAAAAGACATAGATAAAAAGATGTTAAAATATACTTCATTTGAGGTTTATATTGACATTAAACAGCCAGTTCTTAGTGTTAACCTGAAGCTCAGAAAGTGAGACCATTTGCTATGGCAAGTATCTTTCCAGGTTTTGACTATGAACATCGTCTAAAGGACGTGCCTTAAACAACCCTCGAACAATGTGAAAAACAGCAACTACATAAATCCGTAAGTATTCAAGTTCGAGACGAACCCGAAGAGCTGGGAATGCATGCATGGTAAAGAGAGCCTGGCAGTGATTCCAGAGAGCAACTCGCTCTTCAGGCACATCCCATAAAAGCTCTCTCCACTCTGTAACCATAGCTTCAGCCTGCATGAAAAGAACGACCGATAACTTCAAAACCTCATCATAGAAAAGTCAAGCAACATATGTGTAGGAACTGAGCCCTCACTAACTTTAATGATATGGCATGGAACCTTTTTCTGTGAAAACATCAATAAATGACAACCATCACCTGTGTTTCAGTCACATGATGAAGAGAGGAACCGCCAGAGCTAAGATCAAGTTGACGGGCCCAACTACGTGCCTGCTCCCACTGTCCACTTTTCTCTAGAGCATCCAAAAGTCCTTCATCATCAAGATTAGTCCCATCTGTCACCAACTCTGATCCTTCTCGCAAAGCAGGTTCCGCAAGCTGTATCTTCCAGTACAATCGGCGGAACCGCATAGCTGCATGACCTCCATCACCAAAGTCGGACCCTGATAAAAGCTGAAGAAGGCATCTACGTTCATAAGCAGATGTGCATGCTGCATGCATAGCGTCAGCAGCGGCAACAGCAGCTTTAGTAATCCAGGCTGAATTACTCTTCGCACTTCTACTTGGCACGTGTTGCTGGTGCGTCTCCTCCTTCAGAAGAGCAGTAAAAGCAGCAAGATGGGCAGACGCTTCTGATATTCGCATTTGTGAGAAAGCCTGAAAAACACCATCGAAAAGTAAAGATATTGCAACCAAACGGTTATCAAATCAAGAATAACAAATTTCGAAACAAGCGAGACGAAGTGTATCGAGTAAAATCTGTAAATGCTAGAAACTCACCTGCAGGAATCGAAGGAAAGGAAGAAACGATGAAGCTGGTGTAAAAAGATCGAACGCTCTCAGCAAAGGGAGAAACCTTTGCTGCTCACACAACACAGCCACCATGGCCGCCAAAGACTCTTGCTCTCCAGCTCCATCTGTCACAAAAGACGAGCCCTCGCCGGTTGTTTGTCCTTTCTGTCCTATGGTTGACGAGTTCCATCCTGTTTGACTCGGCTGGCTGCTGGAACCAGCAGCAGAACTTGTTGAGGCTACATCCTCCTGCTGAGGCTGCTGTCCTTCCAATGGAGCATTGGCCTCTTCAGGTGACATCCGCCGTCTCCTTTTAGCGCATGTTCGACTGAACCTGAACCCACTTGTGCGGCTACTACCTGCTAAGGCATTTGTAGCTTCCACAGCAGCTCCAACACGCGCAGATATCTGTGCTGCAGCGTCTGATACTTGGATGGCTGAAGTCTCCCTGTAAAAGTAAATGTCGTTGGTTAAGAACATACGTATGTTCAGGCACGATTGCAATTACACAAGGGTATAACTCGAAAACAAAGTAAGAGAATCCAAAGCGCAGACCTTGCAGCCGTAATTTCCAACCACACAGTCAGGCAAGAAAGAGGAGTAGCATCGCTGAAGCAGGAAGCCACGACAGCTAATAGAGGCCATCGCAGATCCTTTGCTTTGGTCAATAGAGCTTTTCCTGCGCGCTTGCTGCTTTGCTCACACTCGGCCAGAAGACTGAAAAGCTCTCCAGTCATGCCCATGTTAGGAATTGCAGATGTGAATGGTGAGCCAAGCGAAGAACTCCCTGATGATGTTCCTGTTGATTTTTCTGAGGTCGGATTAGGAAGACTTTTCAATACAGTCAGGAGATGGCTTTGCAATCTCGCATCTGTAAATTCTTTGGCAACCTGTTGCAGAATTTCGCCACTTACTGGTTAGAAACACATACATTGCCATGTATGGTGCAGCTTACACAACCAGGACAGAATGTGAAAGAAGTATATGAAGCCTCATATACCGAGTGCAAAGGTGATTTGATTTATTACCACTGTGCGTAGGGTGTCAAGAGGGCAACCTTCCAGTTGAGCTTCTGAGAGAAATCCGACCTGTGCCACATCAAACAAGGTGAAATCCACGTTTATTTCCAAGGTGTAGCTGACCCATAACTTCCGAGAACGACTAAAGTCACATATACACGCGTCGCTTATACCACTTTACAAGGGGATTAGACTTGAAAAGAGCAAAGAAGTTGAATAAAAGGTTGGCATCTATTGCGGATTGTCACTACTATCTGAATTGGTAGAGAAGCTTAGCCAATTTCTGTCAAAAATCGATTGCATAAAAATTCAAAAGATTACAATCTAGAATTCTTGCTGTTCAAAATCATCGTACCCAGTCATTGTCTCTTGCAAGAGTTGCCAAATAAGTTGTGCTCAAAGGTAGGTGGTGGGCGCGACAGAAAGCTGTCACAAGACTCCACCTTTCACTCATTGACCGCTGCATTGCTCGAAGTTGAGACCCATCACCTTGTCCGCTATGTAACCAGGCCCCTGGACTACCACCTTCAACCCTTCTCATACCTTCATCTTTGAGGCTGGCCTTCTCAAGATATTGCAACACAGTGACCAAAGCTTGACTTGGTCTACGACTTCGAGAGGCCTCTGGTTTGGATGATAGCATTTCAACACCAGCATTCAAGTACTCGTCTGCCAGTGCTTGAGCAAGCAAATTTGCCATGTCAGCACCATAAGCTTTAACCCAATTTGTAGTCTCTCGTGTAACACCTGGACCACCTCCAGAAGGAACAGGCTCGATTTGATCATGAACCTTGCAATATTCAGATATGCGCCTCAATGCGGCCACATCAAGACGCAACACGTTTGCAGATAGCCCACAAAGCTCACAGAAGAATGCACAAGCAGCAACAACCACGGGATTCTCATACTGCATAATCGCTAGGGGCGCAACCTGCACTCACCAAAGTTCAGTTATTTAGAATACAACTTTCCAACGATGCTTACTCTGGAAAACAAAATCAACATTCGCAATTAATACATTTCGAATTTAATCTACTAATTTTGGCATTAGCATTGTCATTTACCGTTGCTAAAAGCTTCTCTTCGTGTGCCGAAAGTGGTCCCAACAGACTTTGCATTTCCGATGAAGTTAATGGTGGATGTCCCACTTTGCTGCCAGCGTCATGAGAAGCAAAAGCTCCGGATTGGATTCTGGAGCCAAGTAAGCTATTGAATGCAGCGAGTGCACGGCCTCGCCGAAGATGATGCTCCAGCCCCAGCCCTGTGTCCTGAAGAATGACAGAAGAGAACTAAGTGAGAATTTCAGGGCCTGTACAACTCAAAATCTTCACCCCAAACGATTTTTGGTTGAAGAGATTGAGAACTCTAAAGCTCGAGATCACAACCCACTCCACTCATTGTGACGAAAGAGAAATTGCTAATAGAGATGATTAGCGATTGCTGCCTACGATTGGTCTGTGATTCGGATCATGATTATTGCTTGCTATGGGAAAAACACTTCAGCACGTGTCTTCAGAGAAGATCAGCGACGGAGGTCCAAATATGTCAGGAACGATTCTAACCTCCGTGGACGGTGCATATAATTCTTCCTCGATAGCTTTCTGAATACTCTCCTCCCAGGCAGCAACCTGAGACTCCAACATGTTCAGCTCTGCCGCATGACCTTTCTCTCCAGAAACAGTACCCCTAGAAGGAGCCTCTATTCCTCGCTGCACCGCCATTTGCACACCACCTGCCGGTCCCTGCTCCGATGAATCACCAAGATAGTGAGAGAGCATACGCATGTAGGAACAACCCGAGAGCAAAAATTTTACAGGCTCACGATCTCTTATGCATTGATATGATACCACAAGAAGACCGTCCACTAGATCTTACCTGAACAGAAAGCTGTAAGAGGCGCCGCACTCGTTGAGGAAGCCATCTTGGCATCATCTGAAGTAATGAAGTGTCGCCACTAGCAGAAGAGAATAAACCCTCTCGCCAGTGGAGGTACTGAGCCAATCCACCACTACTTCCTGCTCACAAGACAGCAGCCGAGACTCAGAAACCTCAAAACTCCAGACCCTTCGAAAGTAAAATTGGCGCTATTCTTGTCAACTCTAGTCTCCATTTGCCCTGCAACAACTCTCTTACGTTTAACTAGACAGAAGGACTACAGTGCATGACTAAAGTATTGCATTGAGTAGAGATCTTGTATACCCTCAAACTGACGCTTGATTCACTGTGCAACATGTGTAATATATATGAAGTTATATATGTGATATATATCTCCCATAAGGTAAAACCATTACCTGCTTTCAAAGAACTTCCACTGGAAGAGCCTCGCGTATCATGTCCAAAGCATGTCACGACCAGAGAACGCCAAAGTGTGGGAAACCGCTGTAATCCCGGCTGTAGGTTTTCGAGAGTACACTGCCAAGATGGTCCACTGTGTCTGCTCACGCTTCCTGGACATAAACACTTTTGCAGAGGGACTGGGGCAAACATGAGCGTTGAAAGTGCCATGATCTCCCCTCCAGCTTCAGCCATGTCGTCAACAGTGGGCAGGAAAACATCCAGGTCCGACACCTCGAAATGTCTTCCTGGGCTTTTACTGGGAGCGAGGATCGTCCGGGCGTTGGCAAATGAGGCATCGTACTCGCGACGTTGAAGCCGTGAGTAGAGCAACCACAAAGCCCACTGACAATCACCCTGCAAAGCAGAACAAAGTCCACAATGAGACTAGAGTAAAACAGGTAACGCTGAAAGAGCTCCTACAACGAGTCACAAATCTCAAATCAAAGTCAAAGACAAGTTCTTCTGAGTGACCAGAGCTAAAGTGAGACCACAAAGATAAAGAATGATCACAAAGAAACCTACCACAAGGGCCTGCATGACGGAGGCGGATCCCTTGTCAAGAGCTAAGGAGTGATGATCAAGATAGAGTTCCAGCATATGGGGTAAATTATGCCTCACACAATGCTGGACGGCCAGCTCATGAATTGCACGCACTGCATCCTTATGCAATCTGCTGCCCTTTGTGGGACCTGAAACCGTTCCGTGAAGAGAACCGTCTTTGCTTCGACTGTTCGAGACCCTTCCTCCGTATCGATGGTAAAGCAAACCAGCCCTGGCGAAGAGGGACATAATTTCAAGGGTCCCTTTCCAGTAAGCTCGAAGGAAGATATGATTTTTCACTAGTCTCTCCTCAATCATTTGCCACATCCACGTGCTACAAATCGGTGTTAAATCTAGAGCCAAAACATGCACTTTCGGAACAACTGCTTCAACAGCTTCCACATCCAAATCCGACCAATCCTGTCCAGCGTGCCCTGTATAAGTTGGGATTCCAGGGAATGGTAAATTTTCGGCAGACGATACAGAATCATCACAATCAAGCTGGACGTGAAGCTCTCCTTCTCGAAGTACGTATGATGGTACCGTATCCAACAGTGTAGCAACTTCTTCCCAATTATGATGGGCAATATTGAACTCCAATCGAGCCTCCCAGGATATGAGCTGCCCGGTCAAGAGAGGCTGCTCCAAAAGAATCTGAATCAAAGTAGACAAAAAGGTCAGCGGTGAAATACACCTCAAAAGAAGATGGTCGAAACTTATATTCCAAGACTTTTGATCAAGTTAGAAAGAATATCGACTATGTAAACAATAGTACTCCAAAGATGCAATGCATACGTGCTTCCTGTTCATGATCTCCATTTACTGAAAAACCAAGTTAATAACCATTCCAGGTGTAATTTGAACTCAGCAGCTCTGAAAAATGTCTACTAACCCGATCAACTGTAAGCTGATCCCAATGCTGAAGCCAGACAGCTGCTGCGGCCCAATAGCCTGTGGAACTAGAATCCTGCAGCTGAGTGACTTCCAGAATTCCAGGTTCGTCGATCATGCTCCAAGACCCGAGCACAACCCCATCCACCTCTCCACATTTTATGGTCAGACCATCATCTGCACCCATGTCCAAAAATAGAAGTAACTCTACCTCTTCATTCACAGATGATCGCTCATCAGAGTCTGGTGAGGCTCTCAGAAGCTGCTGGCGAGTTCTATATGTGCTCCAAAAACTGCTGCTTGGGTAGATTCTCTGTTCATGTAGCAATAAGGAACCATTAGCTGAGTGCTTTAGGATATCTCCAGTTGCATGCTTCCACCCATTGCCAACATGAGCACGCCCGGTTATCTACTACAGGATGACTAAGTCGCCCAGGACAAACGTGCGTTACTTCTATAACAAGGTTAGTTTGTTTGTTTGCCCGTCAAAAAGAGGTTTTCGATAAGTTCAGTGCCGAAACTTTTAGCTGCTTCAGCTATGAATTAAAAACCGAATCACAAGTTTAGAAATCAATGAACTATTGCTAATTTTCGACAATCTGTACTGCAATGGTGATTATAAACAGGAATGGTACCTCAGTTAGAGAGACTCTCTCTAGCAGCTGAAAGTCGTTTAGAGTGAGGCAACGAAGCCGTTGCAACTCCTTCACGACTTGACCACGTAAAAATCGTCTCAAAGTTCCCAAAGCCAACTCCCGCAAAGCAATGTCAATATCTTCTCCTAGTCTTCTCAACGCAGCCAGTGCTACTCCAGTTTTACCCTGTAAAACGATGGATGAAAATTGACAAATAATGAGTAGAAGAAAGTTAAAAAAAACACAATTGATCGAGGTAAGAGTAAAACGAAGAGGCTCAAGCAGTACAACAAAGGTCAAATAAAAGCACACAACGAGCTACAAGATCTGAAAAAGTGCGCTAATTGAAAATGTAGGACTAGGCACTTCCGTACACTCAAAAGGACCCAAGACGAGCCTATTTCACACTTTCCAATGACTGAATCTTAGATCTAAAGCAAAACTTTTTTCCTGCAGGTGGTTTCCGATTCAGAATAGTAAGATCTGCAAGGAACAAAGCTTTAACCTATGTAAAATGAAAACGCTGACCTTGCAGAGAAGTTCGTACACAATGCCGCGGCCTATATGCAAGAGTTCAGCAAACACATCGTCGTCGGAGTTGGATGACCGATCCTCGGAGCCGTCATTCTCAGCTTTCCTTCGTAAGCGGTGTAACTGGGCAACGGCCAAGGCTAGTCGGCCTGATGCTTTTAGAGCATCCTTCACAATTCCGTAAGCATCGACATTGTCCTTCTCCCAACGAGCGAACATCTCGCTAGGGCTTTCAAGTGGGGAACTTCTCCTGGTGCCTTTAAGACTATCAGCTCCAGGTGGGGAAAGCTCCCAAACACCACCTGGACCAACAAACCCGCCTGTGGCCACGAGTGCACTCGAAGATGAAGGACCAAGAAGAGTTGAATCTTGAGCTGAGATACTTTCATCTGCTCGGAAGCTCGTAACCATATCTTTCATCTCGCCCACTCCTCCTTGTTCTTGTGGGAAGGAAACCAAATATTCTTCATTGCCTTCTTCAATAACATCTAAATTTGGCCTGCCATCTGTGGGTATGTAAACTCCATCACCCCCAGCTGAGTCACCCTGCATGGATCAGTCCGAGTAGAATCAAAATCTATCTGAAAGGCACCAACCTGTTTTTGATAGGAATACCACAGATAGAGTACAAGAACAAGACGAGATGATTGCCTGCCTATGACTGATTGCCTAGAGTTTGACTAAGTTAACTTATTGCCAGAAAACAGAGATGCAGCCACGTGATGAGCAGCAACAAGAACGATTTTCTAGATATTTGTACAGTATTTGTTCACAGATCATGCTGTGAACAAACACACTGACAGAGAATAGGCAACTGACACACACGAAGTTGGACAGTTTGAGAACTTCTTGAGAACAAACCAAGACCTTCTTGCGATTTGGACCTCTCCTTTTCGCTTCCAATCGATCTTGCAGGTTCCGTATCACTTCAAGAAAGCGAGCCAATTCAACCAAACCAATGGTGGTTTTATACTTGCTTGGCTCAAAGGAAGATTCAGCGGGGAGCTGTTTAGAGGCAAAATCGGTCCCCTGACGTTGCTCGCGACCACGGTCCCATCCCTTCATTCCGTGCTGGCGAACCAATTTTGTTGTAAAAGAAGCTGCCAAGGATAGCAACCTGCAGACCTCATTTAGATGATTAAAACAATGCTGGAGAAGAGTACAGGACAATGCTGCGTGAGGACTGCATAATCTTGCCCGTCTTGGACAGAATAAGAATTCAATGTAGATGTACCCAAATCACTGTTTTTTAATGCTCGATCTACATGCGCTATGAAACGATCACGCTCAAACCGAGGACATTTTGAAGATGAACTTAATATCTATTCCAAATTACTAGTTTAAGTGAAAAACCTGTAACTCATATACAGTAATAGCATCATATCTTAATACACTTTTTGCATCAAAATATTTCACTGACTACCTGGATATATCCACACATTCTGGTGGAATCTACCGAACACATGGAAGTAAAACGTGAACGACATACTTAAAGTAGAACTAGAACCCCGAGCTCAAGAAGGTCAAACAGTATAAAACTAGTTCAATACATATAAGAGTCACCGAGCAACATCTGAGACTACTTATTAGACTAGCTTTTTCAACCGTCACTCTTGTCTGGCGTTCGAACAGACCTAGTATGTGACGTAGAATAACAGAAGCATGTACAGAAGCCATGTCATCAACAGAGGGACCTAAATGTATGTATCCAAATTCACTAATATAAAAGTCATCAACATCGCTCATAAGTTTCAAATAAGCAAGGAACAGACCTGGATGCTTGGGCTAGTTCGTTATCTGAACCATGTCGATTGAGCATGAGCTCCACAGCAGCAAACAATACATAGAGAACACCTGACTCTGCTGCTCCAACGTGCACAAGAGCCTCTAGTGCTCTACATGAAAGAAAGCAAAAGTATTAGACAATGGCAAAATAACAAGAACCTCCACCTCAACTCACCAATTCTAGGCATGTTCTAAGATGATTAGTAAGCTTTTCATTTGTAACATGACATAAATCCAGGAAGCTTCCCAATTTTTTAACCGTCCTCTCAGCGAGCACTCCCCATGGCAATGATAAATAAACTTGGCACTCCCCATGGCAACGATAAATAAACTTACTGTTCTATCTCTTCTACCCTCACAAAATCAAGAGCCAGCTGTAGTCTTCGCAATCGCAACAACCGCGGACTCCAACCTGTCATCACGTTCAATTACATTGTAACTTTCAAGAGTTAAAAAACAATCGCCACATGCTGCTGGTTATTCGAGAAGGCACCAAGTTAATCACATTGCAGTCTGCAGTCCTTTCTGCAAATATCAACCTCTTTCATAATTCTTCCAAAACTACTGAAGTTAAAGCTGAAGAGACAAACCATTTTCCAAGCACAGGACTTCAGCTTCTTCAAGACCGTCCCACACCAGTGCTCGATCTAGCACTTCGCTCTGCCATCGCTGAAGCATTGTGCCTCGACTATTCATCCCCATATTCAGTTCATCCCAGCGGGATTGAGTTTCGGAGTCGTTGATCGCAGGCCATTCCTGCTCTTGGGGTACTAGTGTCAAGGGAGCAGACTGAGACCATGAAACGGCCAAGGGAGGAAGCACGACATGAAGAGAAGTTGCAGTCACTAGGTACATGGACCCCTGCGAGCAAAAAGCAAGGGTATCTCCAACATAACTACTCCTCATTTCGACCCTACCTCCAGACTTCTTTCTGACTTTTTCATAAAGGTCCCTTTCATCTACAGCTCCTCCAAGAATTCGCAGGATGTTTTGAGTTATCGTGAAGACATCTCCCTTATTTTCCAAGGGGCGAACTAAGGCTGTGACACCATACGGACTCAAGGCGACTATCACTGGCGATTCGGAGCGTTGGCATGGCAGGAAAACTCTTCTGACAGTGCTCTTGACAGCAGAAACAGAAGCATTAGCAGCTCCGTGGCGTGCGAGCTGTACCCTTGGGCTAAATCCACTAGCGCTACGAGTAGCTTTGGAAATTGCTCGGGGTGGAGGCCCTGGTCCATTTTCCATGCTCCTGGCAAACTGTTCTTCGCTCCTTAAGCGCTGCTGTGTGTTGCTTCCCCTTCCCAGAATTGCGGTGTCTTTGTCAGATTTCGTGGAATTCAGCCAATGTCGATCAGGTAATTCGTGAGAGGATACCAGGACCCCTATGTCAGAACCTCCCACATTCCAATATGACATTACTCTCAGGTTTTGAGAATCGTACCTCTTCTGGTTCAAGGAAGGATCTCCTAAACCAGAGGCGTGCTCACTAAAATAACTGTCTGTTGATACAAGAAAGAGCAAGCCTTTGTCATCAGAAACAACGAGCAACAAACAGTTGGCAGTCACTGCAATATGTGTAAACTTACGCTTCGATCGTAATGTGCTCACTACAGTAAGTTGAGAATCTACTCTGGAAGCTTCATGTCCAGCTTTGGATCCTCCATTTCCCTGTCCAGTTATATCCTCTCTGTTGTTCGTGGTTTGCTCGTTATTTCTGCCCTTCGCAGTTTCTCTGTTTAGACTCAAAGAACTGGGTGGATTCAATCCACAGTGATCCACCACATCTATGCATGCGACCAGGCTTCCAGTCAAAGCACCCCATACAAAAACTTCACCATCCTCCTTCAAGCCCAGGAGTCTGTCTCTGGCAAAAGTAAACGAAGTCCAAGGTATTCGACACGCTTCCTTGGATATTCTTTTGTTCAAGTCTATACGAGCAACCCACTTGATGCCCCAATCCATCACAAGTGCTATGGAGATCAAAAGAGGTCTCGTCTCCCGGTATTTCAGATTCTTCTGATTCACAGGTCTTGCGTGAACAGGCTCACTGACTTCTTCATCGTCTTCCATATCCATTTCGCTTGCTCTTAAGAGCTGCCCAGCAACGATTCCAAGCATGTTATATGAGGGGCTGGAAATGACATCTTGAACCTCAGAGTGTACTTGTTGACCAGAATTCCCGTCTGAAGCGACGGGTTTTTCTGATGTTTTACTCCGATCTTCTTCTTTTGTGTCAGGAGCAGGTTCAGATGAAGAAGCACTCTTCACGAATTCATCTCGAGTTTTAAGAGAGGTCAAAACCGAATAGGCAGGTGTATCCTTCGCAATCCTAAATGACACCACTAATGCTGAAGAAGGCCACGTTTGAGCTCCCAGATATTTTAATTGCAGTCCATCTTCACTATGCTCTAACTCCTTATCCACAAGATACGACACAAACTCATTCTTCTCATCGGAGCTCTGACTTCTATCCCTCCGAGAATTATCTTCGCCATCTTCTCCACGCTCTGTGCTCTCGACGGAAGGCCTCTGCTTTCTCTTCCCTCGCTCGAGTTTCAATTCGGCAGATCCACTCCTCTCCACGCCTTCATCCGAGCTTTTATCCTCCGAAGAGGTCTCCGTCCTGTCAGAGGTCTCATCCAGTCGTCTTCTGAGCTCCAGGCGACTGTCCTGCTCTGTTTGGCCCCAATTTCTCCATTTGCCTTCTCTCCTCTTACGCTCTTTGGCTTTCGGCCCGCCTTGCCCGCTCGAAACTTCACTCGCGGGGATGTTCGCAGAGTTAACGACTCCATAATCAGGACGGTACGTGTGAGAGAAGCAGTGAAAGACAAGCCCGTCGTGGCCACTCGTGAGGAGAACCTCCTTGAAAGGTCCAGAAGGGCCTTCCGAACCGAAACCATCGCCATTGCAGCCCCATGCGAAGTGATCGACATCGCAGAGGATAGGGTACGGCAGGGCGCGCAGATCTGTGGGAGGAGGAGCAGAACAAGACTTGGCTGGAGCGCTGCTGCCATTGCCACTGCCATAAGGTGGTGTGAACAAGGGATTGAAAGATGGAGTGAAGTACGGAGTTGAGGGTGTTTCGGGCACAGGATTTCCTCGCAGCTTGCTGATGTTGGCAAACGCAGCAGAACGGGGGCTGCTGGGAGGAGTCCCACCGAGAGGACTGGCGTAGGGTGTGGAAACGGAGGCGGGGCTGGACAGGGTTCTGGCGGAGTGCCCTACTGCAGCAATGGGAGTGGCGGGAGTGGCGAAGGGTGTGGTCGGATTGCGAGAGGAGGAACTGAATGACAGAACGCGCCCGGGAGGATCAGGAGTTGTCGGAGGTAGCGATGACGCGGTCTGAGCAGCAGTAGATGCTCCCAGCGGAAGGAAGACCACATCACGATCCTTCGACTGCAACAGAAGAAGCTGTCGAGATGGAGAAATCGCCGCGCTGGTCAGAGCAGCGATGGGAAGAGGCGAATTGCCCCAACTATGCAGCTGAAGTACAGCCGGTGCTTCTTTCTCGACTTCAGCCTCGCTGTCCATTTCCACCATCTTCCTCGCTTGGACCGCGATTCTTCCGAATTCTACTATCAATTGCGCCACATTGTCAATCCACGCCTATCCACATCCTCCGCTCGATCGCCTCGGCAAGCACATCATACACGTATATATCTCTCACTCTCTCTACACACTACATTCCAATTTCTCCTTCCGAATGCGGGGCAGGAAAAGCTGGAAGAAAAGGGACTAGATGCGAACCTGTGAATCAAATCTCTCAGGCTCCAAACCCTCCTCTGCGATGCGCACAAACGCGGGGCAAGCTCCATGCACAGCATTACCGAATTTTCACGACAGCATCAGACACAACAGGGCGACGGCTACTGCTCCTCACAGTGGCCTAAATTTGCCACCCTCATGTCAATCCCATCGCGCCAATTCCCTCTCCTCCTCTCCGATTGCATTCGCACCTCGTGCCCCCTCCCGCCCCTCCGACGGGTGACTCCACTCGCCCCACTGCCTGCTGCCCGGCCCAGAAGACCGCAGCTGCTGCTGCGAGTGCTGCTTCTGCTATGCGACCAAATTTGCCACCTCCTTCCTTCCTCCGTTCCGCAGCTGCACACTCATCTCATCCGTAGATCGCCCGCCCGGCTCAAGAAGAGCGACAATCGACCAACGAATCAATCCGTCGACACCGAAGAGCAAACCCACGTATTAAAAATTGTCAAGATTTGCTCGAGAATCACGAGCAATTCGCACATCTGCGTCTCTGTGCGACTCTGTCACAGGGCATTCTCCTCTGTCGACGAAGAAATGCCCTCAGCCCATGAAGAAGGAACGCCTTAACCTCCAGCTCGGGCCCCGTACAGGCCCCGGGGGCGCCCAACATTTCCCCGGTGCCTTGGACGGCCCAGATCGCATCTCCGCCTCCATCGCACGGCATCCGCTCGGTCTTAACTGTCAAGATGTACAGTCCCGATATTGCCTGCCTTCGCCCTTCCCAGCCTATGTCGCGTCCCCGACTCCCGTCCAGCCTCCTCCTCTTTCTCAACAATATCCTTTCCACGTCCCTGTCCCGACGGACGTACACCTGTCAGCCCATTCCGCTTCGAGCTCGGACCGAGCGGTTTCCCGCTCGGCCAAACCGCTCTTTTTACAGTATTCCATCGCTCCCCTCCCTTCGGAGTTCCCGGCCGTGCCAACTCAGAGGGGTGCGAGAGAGCGTTACCGGAGCTTACTTCGTGATGAGATCCCATGTCACTAAAGATCTTCTATATTTAGCGACTCGCTGGAAAATCGCACTGTGGTCAAAGCAGCTCGCCGCTGGACTACGTTCCGTTCTTGCATGCCCCTCGATTGCCCATGAAGATGATCATGCACAACTTCGCCCTCGGTTCTTGAGATGGACGTCACCGTGCGGATTTCATTTAACTGCAGGTACAGTACTGGGGTACGAGGATCCGAAGTGGACCTTCTCTAATCATCTGTGCCGGCACCGAATAACCTTCCCACATCTTTTATCTGCTCTGCTTCGGCCGAGACAGACACTGGTACGTGCTCGTTCGAGCCGGAAACTTCTGTATCGCTCGGCCTCGGAATTTTCTGATGCGAGGTTCTAAGAATCATTTGTTTGATCTGGACCAGTACAGTGGATGCGGCAGCCTCAGTTTGCTTCTTCGCAAGTCTAGATTAGGATTGGACAGCTTACGGGACGGAACAGCAATTTCAGTTGTCCTTGAAAAACTGGAACTGCATCCCGTTCGTAGCACTCTTGTGTTACTCGGCGATTCGTAAAGATATTAATCTCAAGAGGTTTCGATATTTAGTCCAAACGATGGTGTCTCTTAAGCTTAACCTTTCTACTGCGCTCCTACGCTTTCCTGCACTTCGAGATAATTTGACGTCATAGGTGGATGAGAGTTATTCTCTGAGCGATCCGAGTTTCTTGACTATACTCGTTAACATATGTTGCAAATTTGGGAACCTCCATCCAGCCCCAAGGCTTAGATCGACCGTCATGATCAACACTCTAACTATGGCGACTAGTGAATCCCCGTCACCTTTCCGACGAGTGATGGTCAGGTATGTCCGGATGTGACCGACCTCCGGTTGAACAACATGGATAAAGCCGCTCAATCTGGTGGGGACGCGCGGGGTCGTGACTACAAGAGGTGGGTGACAAATGGAGGAACTACGACTCGGAAAAGCATGCCTCTTGAAATTCTTAACGCTCCTAGGCTGCTTTGCATGCTCAGAATCCGGGTTTGTTTGGGTTCCTGACTAGAAAAGCATTACCGCGAGGGCCAGAAGGCTGGACTCATGACGTCATATAAGTAAGGCCAACGGCCTGATGCTCAGTTTCCATGCTTTAATCTGGCTACTTACAAGTGTCAACTTCGGATATTGTAGCTTCTCCACCTACCTAAGCTAATGACTTCCTTCTGATTTTTCATTATTATCTCTAGTGTCGTGTTGGACCACAAGGCCAAGTCTATGTCCCGGCGCCACATTGGAGAAAAGTTTTCGTATCATCGACTCCGGCTCTGACCGTAATGTGAACGTGGCACGTATCCAAGGAGCTGGAGTGGGAAAGTGGGATCAGAAGATCACAGTTATCTGATATATCTGATGAAATCAGATACTCGGACGGTAAATTTGCCCCGACTTGTTAAATGTGATTAAGAGTTCAACCATTTACAGATGTAGTGTCCAGTTGGCAAACAAGAGACAGTGAGGACAATATTTAACTTGAGCAAACATGGTATGGCATCTGAACCTGGGAGAACCTCGAAGCATTGAGGTCGCATGCACGAATACGAGACTGTACGAGAAGTTCGAAATGCAGGATCGAATATTTTTTCGGTCAAAATTGAAACTCATTTGCTTCCTAAAACTGTATTCTACATCAATTGTAGCTGCTTCTTCATTCTATGTTGCCCCCTTCCAGGCTCCTTTAAGAAGTTCACCGGCCCTCTCCAGCTGACCTTCTTTCATAAGGACGTCAAACAAATAATTATATGTTATCTGGTTCGGGGGACAGTTACTTTGACTCATTTCTTCGACCAGCTTTTGAGCCTCTTCTATTTTCCCTGCCTTGCAATAGCCGTGGATGAGGGCGTTGTAAGTGACCACATTGGGAACACAACCCACAGCCTGCATGTCTCTGAAAAGGCTATGAGCTTCCTCCAACTGACCTGCCTTTTGTAAACCCGTGATTAGAGAACTATAAGTGTAAACATCTGGAGTGCAGCCGGCCTGTTTCATTTCTTCGAAAAGCTTGAAAGCTACGCCTAATTGTCCGCCCTTGTGAAAGATATCGATCAGACAGTTATAGGTGCATACAGTGGGTGTGCAACTTGTCCTCATTTCCTCGAAAAGCTTCCAGGCGGCATCTATGTGACCCAACTTACCTAGACCAGAGAGTATGGAGTTGTACATGATGACATTGGGTGTGTGGCCCATCTGTTGCATTTCCCTCACAAGGTTGCAGGCTTCCTTCACATTCTCAGTTTTCAGAAGTGCCTGTAACAAGGAATTGTACGTGTACGTGTCGGGCACACAATCGTTTTTTTTCATCTCAAGATACAGGTCCCATGCCTCTTTGACCTTGCCTTCATTCCCGTATGCCTTCACTAAGGTGTTGTACGTTATGACGTCTCTTCGACAGTTCTTCTCCTTCATCTGTTCAAAAAGCTCACCTGCCTCCTTCAATGATCCCGCACGACACAGGCCATCAATGAGGGAGTTGTAGCTAACAACATCCGGCGTACAGCCTTTCTTCTCCATTTCCTCGAAAAATTGCACGGCTGTATCCAGTCTGTCATCCTTGCACAGAGCATTCAAAAACGTATTACAAGTGAAAATGTTTGGCGTGCAGCCGGCCTGCTTCATCTCCTCCAATAATGAACCCGCAACCTCCCATTTCCCAGCCTTTCCGAATCCATCAATGAGGCAGCTGTACGTAATTTGATTTGGAGTCACGTTCTTCGATTTCATGTCGTTGACAAGCCTTTGAGCCTCCTCCAGCTGATTCTCCTTGATGAGTCCATTTACCACACAATTGTAAGTCACCAGATCAGGTGCAGGACCTTCCACTTCCAGTTTGCGCAGCAGTTGACGAGCCTGAGAAGTGTGGCTGATTTTAACCATCGCATCCACAGCCAAGTTGTAGGCAAAGACTCTAGATATAGTGCAGGCCTGCTGCATCTCTTCAAATACCTCCAAAATTTTCTCCCAGCAGCTAGCCTTGTGCAGAGCATCTAAGACCAAGTTGTATGTTATCTCAGTTGGAGGAGTGCCTCTCTGCTTCATTTCTTCGAACAAAGAGAAGACCTTCATCCACTGCCCCGCCCTCTTGAAGCCATCTATCATTATATTATATGTGATTACATTCGCCACACCACATCTCGCTTTCATCTCTTCAAACAGTTGATAAGCCTCCTCCATCTCCTCAGCCCTGCAAAACGCATGTATCAGAGAAACATACGTAACCAAAGTGAAGGTATGGATGCCGTCCCTCATCTCCTGGTACAGCTTCCATGCATCCTCAGCTCGACCTGATTTCTGAAGGGCATAGATCAAAGTACTGTAGGTCACCTCGTTGGGTTTGCAACCCTTGGTTTTCATCTCCTCAAAGAGATCACAAGCTTGTTGCAGATTCCCCATTCCAGCGACCACATTCAACATGATACTGTAAGTTATCACGTTAGGTTGACAGCCGTTGGCTTTCATCTCGTCAAAGAGCTCACAAGCTTCTGCACATTGTCCTGCCTTTTGGAAATTTCCGATAAGGGAGTTATAGGTAACCACATCAGGGAAGCAGTTATCTTCCTTCATTTCCTGCAGTAGCGCCCAAGCCCTCTGGTTTTGACCTGTTTTGCCCAGCAGGTTGATTAAGCAGTTATAAGTATCAACGTGAGGAATGTAGCCTTTTTTCTTCATCAACTCCAAGTATTTGAAGGCCTTCTCCAGCTCAACGGCAGACTTCCTCTGCAACTCATTGTCTGCTGGGAGAGATTTTCCCAGCAATCTACCATCCGGTTGCTTCGACAGGCTTGCTTTGGCAAGAACTCTGATCAGAAAATCGTAGGTCAAACCATCTGGTTGTACTTTGGACTCTTTCATGTCCACCAGAAGCTTTCGTGCATCGTCAGCTCGGCCATCCTTCACAAAGCTCCGCATTTGTGCGGTGTAGACATATAAATCTGGTTTGTGGCCACTTGCCTTCATGTCTGCAATCACTTTCTCTACTGCCTCTAAGTCGTTCGATTTGCAAAGCTGCACAGCAAGTTCTGCATAACTTGACCCAGCAGGCTTCAACTTCCTCTCTTTCATTTCTTGCATCAGAGCCATCGCGGTTTTCAGTTTCCTACAATCCAGAAGTTTGCGTGTCATGTCGTTGTAAACATAACCAGCACTGACAAAGCATCCTTGCTTCTCGGCCCATCTGAGGAACCTCATAGCTTTAGCAGGGTCTTCTTGGAACTTCAGTACTTCGACCACCAGTGCGGGAGTTGGCCATAATTTCATTCGCTGAAATTCAGTTTCCACGTCTCCACCTTCGTCGAGTATTGAACTTATCTGCAACGCCAGCCGCTGAAATCCTGTGGTAACTCCCGTGAATGGAACCTTCTTCGGAAATGTGCTAGCTTTGATCGGTTTATTATATCTCCGGTTGCTTTTCCCAGGGACGTGAGCAACTGCGTTCGCAGTGCTGCTGCAGAAACAGCGCTGGAAATTGTTCATGATGGTAAGGAAAGCATCTCATACCGATAGATAGATCGCCCCTGATAGATCAAATAGACACCCAAGAGCATAACAATTGCAATCAAACAACAGGTTCGCAATGCAGATCAGGTACCTTATGAAGAAGGTCCGGTGGCGCAAATTCCGACCTCCCAAGGCAACCTTCAATAATGAGGGATGCATTTGCAGCAATCGAGGCCCTCACAAAATTCGATGCCGTGGAGGCAGAGCTGAGGTCCACTGTATCAGGAAACTTGTGGAATCGATTGACTCCATCACTGGCTAGCACGCTGTTTGTTACGCCTCGTGGGTTCGCTGTTGCCAGCCTTTTCCACTGCAGAACGAGAAGCTGAAGCTTCAAACCCGATGGAGGCTTAGCCATTTTGCCTTCCAAGTGAATCTTACCACCTAAAAGAAGTGCGGGCATGATTAGCTGCGGAACGGCAACAAGACTAAAGTTCCATTTGACTAACTATCCATTTGACACTGATCGGCCAATCTTCCACATATTACAAGCTACGACGTTCGAAATAGTAGAACAACCAACAACCTACTCTACGCTAGTAACAGCCAGTAAATTATGCAACTATGCCTGATAATCCACCGACTGGGCGACAAAGTCCTAGAACAAATTTCCTAAACTCATTCTGTCTCTAGGATAACAAAATACTCGAAAAGATCGAACAGCCGTGCAAGTTCGTGGAATAAAATATCAGAATAACCCAGCAGCAATACCTTCCAACAAGTACTACTACTCTGTGCTCTCCGCATGCTCAGAATTCACATCTACAAGCAAACTGAGGAAAACCAAGTGTGTTTAGCATTCTTCCTTTCAGGTTGCTCAACCAGATTCATAAAGATGCCCAGAGAAAAGTGGAAGGTACAATTAACATCAGAAGATGCAGTCGTCGTCGAACTCAAACATTCGTATATGTCGTTCACTCGATTGGAAGTGAAATCGGGAGGCTACGGAATCACTCAATTGAATCTGCACTGAACGCTAGTTTATTGACATTTACGAAAATTATATGGACCCCTGAACGTGGCGATTCTTACCAAATCATAACCGTGTTCATGCTGCTCCTCAAATGAACAGCATGAAAAACTCATACATTCTGGACGAAGCCTGAGTAGCCCATTTGAGAGAGACTAATTCACAATCCTCGATTGCTCAGTGAAATCCACTCGAGCACATGCTACAATCCAGTCAGCCACAATGTCGTCCCTCCAGCACCTCAGACATCAACAGATCCCTGTATACAAAAGCCCGGGGCCATCAAACACTTTGCACAACCATCAATCACATCATCAGACGGCCTATGTCCCGATGTCACTCAATAGCTGTACAAATTCCCAGTACACTGCAACTGCCATGGCAAGCAACGAGGACGTGTCCCACTTTTGCCCTAGGAGGAGCCCTAAGCCAACATACCAAGCGAGAAACTCGCCTCAAACAGCGGGGCGACTCCATGGCAGACATTCTTTCAACATAATTGTGCCAATTCTGTGAGTTGTATGAAGGGCATCTATTGCCACTCTCGCTAGCCCGCTATGAGTTTTGCAGCCATTTATGTCGTCTGTGCTGAACATGACAAAACCCTCGGAGGGACCACCTGCTTAAACCCTCCTTTGCATTTCAATTCATAGCTCGTAACAGAGGAACCTGACCCTGGTCTATGTCTTAACAAGTTCCTGCTGCCGACGTGAAACCTGCTAGTTTACAGTGATGTGTCCTTATTACATCGTGGACAAACTCATATTCAATATGTAGCCCGGGCACATTTACATGGCCAAGAGGGCCATGGAAGACCACACCGAGAGGAACAAGTTGACATCCTCGGGTAGGATGGGGTTACACCCAAATAGCATCACAAATCCTATTTATAAGATTTTTCTAAAGATTTCTAATAATTACTCATCATCATTGCTGGACGCTTAAACATGACAATGTTCCAATAGGAATGACTCATTGGGATTATACAAAATAATGATAATATAATTCAACATTTTGTATATTAATCAACAACATGTCAGATAGCAACCGATTCATTATAAGGTTGTTAAGATTCTATAAATCTTGTCTTTGATCTTATATTATTTATGTACCGCAAGATAATATGGAACTTGGATAGAAAGCACCACACGTACATATGACCCTTCCATGTGAGTTATTTATATGTCATTTTGAAGATAATTCATGAGAAAAGTCATGATTTTCTGCATTACATATTATTTCTATATTATTTAGTCATTATCCAAGACAATCATCTAACATACTGATAAATCAAATAACATTCAATTGATTTGTAACAGCTTTCATGCTAAATCTAGCACATGAATATATACTATCACTCTTATGTATGTAAGAACAGTTTATTGGAAATAAGATGCATTTTTGAAATGAAATTGCTTGAAACTGGAGTTGTGATTGTGTATTCCAAGAACTTTTCCAAAGACACACTGCCATTGAAAAATTTTAAGTTTTATATATGAGTGTATAATTTAAAAAATTAAATTAAAATCTCTTTTTTATATTGATTAAAATATCGTGAAAAAATTTACATGTTTTTCTAATATATAATTAGCATCCATTTTGACAAAACGTAACGTATTTAGAATTAAATGTTACTTTCTCTGAAAAAATTACCTTCATATAATTCATATAACTCATTCATTTAACAAAGTCAATTTTTGTTTTAAACTCTAAAAGTTGGGTTATGATATAATGTAATAAATGGATAAAAACAAAAATGTCTGTTTTAGTGTATGTGTTGATTGACATGATCATTTATCAAGGAATCCTGATTCTTCAACCTACAAGATATTTCATTCTAGATCTCTTTTATATGTATATTAAAGAGATTATAATAATTATGCCAAAATAAAATTTTATGAGTAGTGGTTGCAGATTATTCATAAAGAATACCTAAGCGAATGATTTTTAAAACACATGAATCATAGTCAGATGAGTTTCTTTGAGCTATCTAAGTTGAATGCTCACAAGACACTATTTGTTAATATTAACATCGTACAACTGCAAGATTGCATGTATAAGTAGTATGAAGTATTCAAATGTCTAACCATGGTTCATCTCAATGTCATGATGAGGTGATTTTCCAAAATGCATTTGTCAGTGCAAATAGCGCTGCAAGATCACGGTTATACTCACAAAACACAATATATCCCAAACAAAACAACTGCTTTGATGTCCAGAATTACTTTTTTCCATTTCAGCATGACGACTATCATCTAAAAATGCAGAGCTAAGAATGTAGATGAGCCCAATGGCGGTAACCCGGGTTACCAAATTTCCGCTCCCAAAAATACAATTAATTATTTTCTTTGGAAATCGATGTTCTAAAAATAGATTTTCACAGTCCGAGGACTGGAAACTAGGTAGTGTGTTTCCAACAGATTTCAGCGTTCAGATCATACAAGTTACTGTGTCTCTGCCAGACATTCAAAGCGAAGGCACCTGCGTCTAACCAACCTTCAATTTTGACTATTCCAAAAGCCCATAGAGTCATAGATAGACCTAATAGTAAGGCGTGCAGTCACGCAATAAAAATCATTGTCTCAGAATTCACTGTCCTTCTATTAGCGAATAGAACTCTTCATTTCCAGCCCGTTTTCTTGAAATGTGGACCACTTTTCGCAAAGTTATCCGGGTTACCACGGCAATCCGGTTTATTACCATTGGTCTCATCTGATGTCTTCAATCGTAAAGATCTTCTCGTTGATACGCAAATAACTCAGATGTTATATTCTATTTTTCTATTTTATGAGTGGATTCAAAAGTTGTGAAGATATATTATATTCCCGATAAACTAGCCATATACAAAGGAAGAAAGTCTCGTGTGCCTACCTTATTACCCTCGGCCTACCCCAAGATCTGATGATGTTATTCTCCTCTAAAAGATCCTACAATTGAGTCAAATGAGAAGTATTGTGTCTTTAAACTTTATTCCTAATCTATGTTATTCATATGGACTGCTCCCGACAAGTGATCGGAAGCGAAAAACATGTATAGTATTGATGCTCACATTCATTATATGATTCTTTCTTGAGATTGAAAAAGATACGGAACATATTGTCTCAAGTTGAAGTTATAACTGGCACAAAGAGACTGATAAAGGTAAGTGTTACTATTCCACCCGCATGTGTTAAAGGCTATGTATGAAATCCTTACATTCTACAAAACACAATTCATAATACTCCAAGATGGTCAAACTTAAATTGCAATGGATCCAATGAAAAGAATGACAGAAACACAGAATCATATGTCAGACTTGAGAAAATATACAATTATGTTTACCCTCTATACAGTTTCCGTATGGTGAAATGTGGGTAGAAAAGGGACCTAAATTGGAACCAGAGTAGATTTGTAGTACTTGATGGGCCTTCCCTTTTGTTTGCTTTATTACTCGGTTATCATTCAGCTCATTCTTCTTTGACATCGATTGATACATGAATCGGGTCCGGCGCAAGGCGCACAAGTATCAAAGGACGGGTCGAGCGCTGGTTCAACCACGCACAGTTGGAAAGTAAATGTTGTGCTTCTGGCGTTTACCGGGTGCAATGAAACTGCGTGACGAGAGGGCCTTCGTTGCTGTGAACAGAGTCCGGACTCTGGAGCCTGGGACATTGTCTACTCGCACCGACTGATGGAGATGGAGGAAGGCTGTGCCAAGAATCGACGATAGCAGGACAGTACGGGATTTGGACGAAGAATGTGTGTCGAGCGTTTCGGTTCTTCGGGGGCCTGCGAAATCGGCTTCGTCGCGCTGCTCATTGGAAGTTGATCTTTGGTGTCGATCTTGGACCGATCGATCGCTTCCTCGGCAAGGATGGCGGGATTGTTCGCCTGGGCCGCAGATGTCGTCGGCGGAGGACCTCTAGAGGATGATGATAAGCCTAGGAAACCAGTGCCCTTGCTTCTCACATCTCAGCAGACACACTACTTGAGTGAATTGGATGTCAAAGCCGCTGCCCTGCAGCAGACCGTGCAAGTTCTTCGGCAGCGTGTTGGACCTGGGGCGCAAGGTTTTGCCGAGCGAATGCCGCATTTGCATGCAGATTCTGTTGCCTCGCAATCAGCACTTGCTCTAGAAGTTCAAGCACACAACGCCACTCGAATCCAGGTACAATCCACTTTATCTCGGCCTGAATGATTTTTTTATATTTTTTTTTCTCTGGTGGCTTTTGTTGAATTTTTTTTACAAATTCAACCTAAATTGTAACTTTAAGCAAATGTAAGCTAGAATCGGAAACAATAGGAGGAAACTCTAAGCCTTAGTGTGAAGTTAACCACCATTGTGTACACAGAAACTTGGCTTCATCTGGTTGCTATAAAGCTTTGAATCAACAAAAGACATGCTGGAAATTGCTCTTTTATGTAATAGGTTGTTTGCACACTCAATAGAATACAGCTGATTACACTTAATGATTACTGGGTCAATGGTTTACAAGGTTGTTATTAGTGTGAAATTTTAGGCTGTTGTTAGAATTATCTCTTCGATGTGGAGATGGATTCAGATGTAATCAATCAGCTTTCACAGTAGTACAGGAAAATGCTTTTTCTCGACGAAACTATTCGTACATTTGTTACATACGGTTTGCAGTCGAACTTCGTTTTCTGCTCTTTACAATTCCTCTCTAAATAAAAGTAAGGACTTTTTCGGTCGAAGAGCGTATTGACTAAGTTAAGAACGTAGTGCATACGAGTCTCCCACAAGCAGTTGAGGAAAAAGATAAAATAAAACTATATATATCATCAAAATTCTTTTTAATGTGGAGAAATATACAGATACAAATGAGGGAGGATTCGTTGCGAGCTGAAAATGAAGCTTATGCAAAGGCACTAGCAGGCCGACAGGACGAAGCACGAGAGAAAGCTCAAGAAGCTCAAGAACTTCAGACCACCATGCAGGTAGATGTTATAGATATGCCGAGCATTGTTAATTTGATTTGCTTTATTTGTATTGGTAAAAAAGCTGATTTGGAACTTCCAGTACAGGAATTAGAAGAGAAGGAGAAAACTTTCAAGAGTGACTTGGAGAAGCTACGAGCTGCTGTGGCTGAAAAGGATGGGCTTTCTATTCAAGAGGAGGTAGAAACTACAGCATCAGATGCGGACAGGGATACGCTTCTGCAGAATGAGTTGAGGCAACTAAGATCTGAGCTCGTGAGTTAGCCTACTCATGCACTTTTTTGTGTTACTTTTCAGGTGTTTGTTAAAAAGCTTAAGTGAGATGCTCATCTTTCATTTCATGCTTGCATCAAGAAACTATTATTGCATCAAGAGAAACCACCCAAAGCTCGCTGCTTTTATGCTGATATCTTTACTTGGTCAATCTCTGCAACATCTGTCTTATTGTTCTTCTTCTCTTGAAGGAGTGAAAGTTTGTGCAATAGGCTGCAGTACTTAGATGGCAGATATAGAGTTCATACTGAATTCGGATCCAAATCGACCCATTTAGGATATGTGGGAGGTCAAGGTGGCGAAGTTGGAGAGAGAAGTAGCTTCCGCCCAGCAAACTGCTTCACGGTGGCCCTCGCCAGGTAATTTCCACAAACCCTATTCCAGAGTTAGCTTGTTCAGATCTCTCAACATAACTCTTGGTCAGAACTTTGCCTTCAATCCCCTTTTGTTTTCATTGCCAAGTAGCCTTCTTTCTTCGCTCCAATTGTCTCAAGTTTCTCTTAAAGTGACAATTCGTCTTATTGTCTATGTTTGTAGCCCAACGGGAGAAGGAGTTAGAACGGAGGCTCAGAAATTTGACAGAACAGCTTGTGACAAAGCAGGTGGGTGCATGCGAGATTGAAATTGTTATCAAAAGGGTGAATAATAACATTTTACTACTCACATTCTTGCTTCATGCTTTCCTTCTAGACAGGCGTGACTTCCCAAAGACCATTGGTAAGTCTAATAAGTGTATTCAGAGTTTTGTATGTTCACAAGTTTATGGGATTACACCCTTTAAACAATATCAGCAGTCTATGTATAGATATTAGAGACAAGAGATTGGATTTTTCCCCTTCACGTCTCAAGGACTTTTCTCTGCGAACGGTCACCATTCCCCCTCACATATCGGTTCGTAATCTGCTTCGATACAGGCACAAGCAGAAAGTCTTGCCAACGAGCGCAATGCTCTGGAATTAAGATTGGAACAATTGAACGAATCCCGACGGCACATCCAAGCCACTGGAACGGTGGATGGAAATTCGAAGAGGAATAAGATCGGTCGACCGTCTACGAGCCATCATAGTGGAGATGAATCAAAAGTGCGTGGTCTCCCAGTCCGGCAGAGGGCTTCCAAGTCAGTTAGCGATAACGTGGCGAACGTAGCCAGAACTATGGACGCGTTCAGTCTACACGCCGGCAGCCACTTTTGGAGGAATAAGTTGGTGCGGTCTCTGACGGTAGTGTATATCCTCTGCCTGCACGTTGCAGCCTTCATCATGTTGACGGGCCGCATGCATCGCCAATTCAAGCCAGCGACTGCAAAGGAGCTCCCGTAAACATTCCTAGCATGCTCAGTGCACAACCAGATTCCAGATCCCATCGTGAGAGCACCTAAGTATGTGTCTTTGACGTATCAGGCACTAGACATGTACACACCATATTATTGCACATTTGTGGATAGTTATTATCATTAGTTGGCCTATGCATACTACAAGTTAGAACATTTCTATGTTCCCCACATCTAGAAAGTGCCAAATTGAGCTCGTTTGAAATAAGCCCCTTGTAGAATATATATATGTCTGGAAATTTCGTCCGAACGGTTGGTTTGAGAACACAACCTGCCTTTGTACTTCAAGAGTGTCCAGGAACGTATCGAACTTTGCCTTTCCTCTGCCAATCAAAGTATTCCTAGATCTCTTACAAGTTCGATAGCGTATAGTCTCTCAACCTAAACACATGTTGTTTAGGCCCCATAACACGTTGGGGCGTTTTACACAGGACCTCGTACAAGTTTCTCCAAACCTTCTTGTTCTGGTGCTTTACAGCCTCAGTTGGGTTCTCTTTTGAAAGTGTACCTATTGAAGCCAGTGTTGAGTATATGTCCAGAACTGTGTAGGACGCATATACCGTTATTAACCTTGACCCATACTTGCATCTAGTAATAAACTGAGTGATTGTCTAAATTTTCACGAGCAAATAGTGAAACATGCAGATCGCAAGGACTTAAAAACCTTCACGGATTAGTTCTCGCTGACCTGTCAAAAAACTAGACTGTTAAAACCTTAGTCATAAGTTGGAACTCTGGCAAAGTAGGTATGGATCTTTTGACATATCCTTGCAACTCGCCTTAACGGCTTACATAATAACATGTACTACAGCCATCAAAGATTTCGGAGGAAGTCGTATTGAGATGTTGATGAATGGCATCTGGCTTACAAAGTGCGAGCACTAGAATTTCCAAACTTCGCGACATCATGGTTCAGTATTCTACAATTTTAAGGATCAGTGTGCTCAACTTGCGGTGGAACCCATTATTGTTATAGAATCAGGTACTGAACTAGAAAAATTATATCAAGAGTTCACTGTTGTTGCCGTCGTTTCAAGAGTTCTGTCAGCTACATGGTTTTTCGTGCTTTCCAATCAAACTGGTAAATGAGCTTCATGGTTGAATTTCCGTGTTTTGAATCTCAAATCAGACCATCCTGATTGTAGGATATCAAACTGGTAATGTGCAGACGAGTTGCGTGTACTGTACTGCGCGGGTATCTCACCTCAGATGGTGTCTGCAAAAACCACACAAGGAGTTCTTTAGGAATTACAGAGAGGTCTTTCATCCCTCGGTCGACTGAACTGTCCAAATCTCGATCATCAGCTGAAGACAAGCTTCAAGCATGCAAATACTCTTGATCTCCCATGCTTCCCCTGGAATCATCATCATTGTTTTTGGGAGTCCCCTCTAAGACTTAAACCATTTGGATTAAATTTGCACCAGTTGAATCTTAAGATGATTACTAACACCGCTAAGTCTTATGTAGTGTGCTTGGCATCTTAGGTCATACCAATAAATAATTCTTTGCTGAGAGGTAAACCGGTTTTCTTGGACATCATTAGAGATGTCCAAGGAAAAAAACCTCATCATCACTCAAGAAATAAAGAAAAACCGTTACTCATGAATTTTCACGCTCATGGATTGTTTCGAACACAATTATTGTGATAAGTAGGCTCACGACTCGAGACATGGATACCAAAAACTTGTGCAGAAGAAGAACTTCTTGTAAGTCCAGGGGAAGCCAATTTACATGTTAGAGATTTTTTCCAGGCGTTGGACTCACCTCAATGTATCCTTTGTTCCCCTGCGAACTTTGCATCGTATGGTGGGCAAACCCAATCTTTGATGTGCTTCATATCGGTGGCAACCGGAAAACCCTGCAACATTCACAAGAGGATATGATGTTTTCTCTGTGAAGACAATTAGAATTGTCCCTGCCCCTTGATAACAAACTTGATTTTCCCAAATTACAAACAGTCAACAACTGATGGCCTTGCCACAACTGGAGCTACTTTTACAAAGCTTCCATCCACGAGAGGACAGGAAATAAATGTCAGATGTGTACGTACCGTAATAAAATCCTTCAACCTCCAGCACATCGATCTGCAAAAGCAGAAGATTCAATATTTTCGACACTGATATAATCTTCCTAAACCTGGGCATCTGTATCGTTCCTAGATAAGAATCCCCTTCAAATGCAAATAGCCCTAAAAAAATCAAACACTGATCCCAATTTTGTTCATACAGACTGAGACTCACTGGCTCTTGAAGACCAATATCTGCAATGCTTGCCATCAGCTCTTTCACTTTCTCCGGATCATTGTTTCTTGTGCGAAGCAAAGGGCGGCGTATCTGTTCCAGTGGCAGCTCGATTATTACTGGCCCTTTCGCCTTCAACGCACCACCTAAAAGATCAAGATTAAGCCCATCCTGACCTTAGTAATCGGCGACACATGCATATTGATGAATGCAACCCCAATTCTCTGGAATTAGATGTTCATTGAAACTCGGGCCAAATCAAATTTATAGACATGGAATTACTCTTCAAGAGAGAAAACACAAAAGACATGTAATTGGCCGAGACAGAGTGTAAACCAGTGACACAGAGAAAGGATTGGAGATTGATTTTCAAGTTGCGAGCATCCAATTCTACATGCAACTGCAACCAAGTCCAACGTCGTACCATTCTGGGGGGTAGGCGAGGAAGAGCATCTGACGACGCTCACCCCAAGTGACCGAGTCCCCCGGCTTGATAAAAGCGCGGTAGTGGAAATCGCTGTCGCCGACGACAACATTCTCTCTAAGACCAATCGTTCTACTTTGATGCTCAAAACTCGTGAAGTCGATCGGAAATCCACCTGTGACCACAGCACCTGCAAGTCATCGACAGACTGGAGGCGATCAGCTCAGTGACCATTTCGGGAAGCCTTAGTGGTTGGCTGGCCTCTACTCACTTCCAGTACCTCCATTTATCCCCAGGACAATTCGAGGAAAACGAGGAAAACGATTCGTCGCTCTTCACATTCGTAGGCAACGACTTTTAAGTAGGCAGAATTTAATCGTTTCTGTTATTTAATCGACACCTTCTCATTGCCAAGTTCGAGACTTATGGAATGTATGCCATGGACATCCCGGCTACTCATTCTAGGACTGCCACATGGCTATCACCATTTCGTGTGTATATATATATACATATACATATACAAATGATATACTTCATCCATATTCCTCTGATAGAGAATCTCAAAAAAAAACTGATAGGCATCTTCAACTCTCCTGTAAGTTGGTCCTAACTCCACTTAACCTCATCCTCTGCTAGAGAATCCCCAATTGCATTCCTCCTGAATCCACTTACTTCTTCATTCCTCTTCTAGATAATTCTTAATTGGCATCTTATTCTCTCCCATGTATTGGTCATCAACCCACTTACATTCTTGCCACTTGTTACCACTTTATCTACGTCTTTATTGCACTTAAGTCATGTGATTGTGAACTCATGCTAACCTTTATTTACATATTCTAAATAACGATCTTCGAGCTTGTAGGTTTGTGGGTTTGGCACAAAAATCTTTGCTAATTATATATCGAGTGGTAGGTTTATTCATTATAGAGAATGTCTAAATTATAGCATGTTTGACCAGCTAGCACTTTTTACCTTTTTATATTCTAGTTTAGTAGATATGGATAAACTTATAGCTTTATATTCTAGATGGGGATGGAAATGTGTTGGGGTCGTGAATGTGATTTGCATACTTTAGCCTCAAAATTATGACATTAACTTCTGTCTTGCTTTCTGATTTACTCAGGTTCTTCTACAATTTTTCAATGTATCTTCACATACCAACCATTTGAATTTGTTTTACCTTCAATTTTTGTCAATCTCATCATTGCAATTAGTGAAAAAACCTCTTACAAAATGCTCTTGTAAGGTTGCAAGTGCGTGGATCTTGGCACTATATAGCTAAGGTATTAGTGACTCACATAAGTTAATTTTTGTATTGAAATTTTTTTTTTATGTGGTCATTGCAAAATAATCTCATTGCATAGCGATTACCTTACGTACAATGATATTTTAAAACATTGGCTACTAGTATATATTTGAAACAAATGAGAGAATACAAGAAAAATTGTTGTTGTTTATATAATGTAGATAGTTTTTTCACAAAGTTTAGCATAGAGTGTGAAGATATCTTAGATGTGATAATGCATAATTGTCACAACAGTACGAATCTATTGTAGTACAAGTTTAGTATTTTTATACAAACTCGTATGTTAGGTATTTTTGTATAAACTATATTTAGTCGTCAGCCTAGGAATATTGTTCACGTAAGGTATAGAGTCTACAACGACTCGAAGAACTAACATTCTTTGAGTCGAGCTTGGAGCGTTGGGACTAGTGAGTGCACTAAAGTGTCGACCTGGATTCTCAAGACGACTGAGTTGGGCTCGACTTATGTATGTGTGACGGTTTTGTTGCTAGTGGGATAATCAAGACTGACGTGTTTGATAGTGGAGAAAAACACGTTAAATTTCACTCGAAGAACTCACCCTTTTGCTTTTACTGGAAACGTCTTTGAGCTATTACGGATTTGGAGTCAAAGAAGGTAGCGACGTCTCCGTTTTTATTCTCATCGGATGTCAAGAGATCCATGAAGCTTTTACAGTCGTGTGTAGAGTGTGGTATCGGTTGGAGTTTTTGTTTTTAGTATCACAAGTTCAGGAATATGCATTTGTGCGAGCTTGAAGTTTGCTCGGGACGATGGTGAGCTAATTTTGAGGAAGTAACAATTCTAGAGCTACAACATGGCTTCGGAGTTTGGTAGTCGAGGTCGAGATCACGTAACTCTCATTGTGAAGGAAGGGGAAGTGATAATCGATTTGTTTGGTTTGAGGAAGTGGGCCGTATTTCCTCACAGTGTTAATCATTGTTTACCATCGCGGCCTAGGGTAATCTGGGAGTACTGAGTGAGGTCCCCTCGCGCGCACCGTAGCTCTCTATTTCTGTTATTCTACCGGGGAGAGTTTCAATTTTGTAGAAATAGAAAAACAAGGTGTTGTCTGACAAACAGAAGGGCTCCAAAAAGCTGAAGGTTGGAGGAAATAGCAAGAATGGTTCGGCAGAAGCACAGTAGATACTCTTGCGGTGACTTTAGTTCTTTGAACCTTCGTCAACGGCATGTCTCGGCTGGTTTTTGTGGAGCAATTGGCTTTGATACACGTAGTTCAAGGAAAGGTTTATGAGAATCTTCAAAATTAAAAATTTACGGTTTTAGGATTTAGGGGATTTAACACAATCAATCACCGTCTTGTTAGTTTATTTAGAGGATGGAGATGATGAAAGTGGTCGCTGGAAACAAAATTCAAGAAGTCTTTTATCGGTGAAACTGAAGATTCGGATACGTGTGTTAGAATTAGCTAGATTAGTGCGTCTAATGTACTCTTAGAGTATTTAGACTAGTCAGCGATTATCTTCTAGTGATCGCTATCTGGATATCTAAAGGAGTGGCCCTAAGCAAACCAGCCAACGCATATGTGACCGTTGCGGAAGCTTACGATAAGGCACTGCTAGAGTCTAAAGTGTGATCAGTAACCCAAGGCACTATATGTACTGGGACAAGCATTCGGTAATGTATTAAGACTGATTACGATCAGTGGTATTCTAACATGGTATCATAGCACTAATATTCTTTTGATCCTTGACTCAAGATTGCGAATGCCTTGACTGTCTAACCTTGATATTTGAATTATTTTTCCCCCCTCTCTCGTGTAGAGCGATGGATGCGTTGAAGGAGCGAAGTACATCGAGACAACTCAGAAGCTTGGTGGCATCGAGAACTACACCTCTTGGGTTGCGCAAATGCGGGACATCCTTCAAAAAAAGAAGTGTTTTTCTGTTGTGGAGGCGAGCGTTCTAACCCCGACATTGCTACCCAAGATCGACATACCTGCAGATGCCACCGGCCAGGCACGTCTTACTACAAACACAGTCCGGAAGAAATGAGAGACCGAGAATGAAGACCTCTAGGAGAAAATCGATGCTCTTCAAGACAAGCAAGATGATACAGTCAATTATATAATGATGAATGTGCGTGAACACATTATTTACCACATTTCTGCTATGATTGACCCCTACCTTATGTGGAAACAGTTGGAAATACTGTTTGCAGCAGCTAGCAAAGACCGTCGCTAGCTACAGCGTCGGAAGTTGTCTAATCTCTCTATGCGGAAGAGTGAGTCAATCAAGATCCACATGCGAGTTGTGAAACACTTGACAAATCAATTGTCCAACTGTAATGATACTCTTAAGGATTTCGAGCTCATACCTTTGATTCTAATGAGTCTCCCTGCGAGTTGATATGGCTTTGCGTCATCAATCAAAGCCATCATAATTCACAATACTTACACGCTTTCCTAGTTTTTTACACTCTTGACTGATGAAGAGATGACCCGCGAGGTTCGTTCCAACCGTTCTTGTGTGTCTACTGAGTCTCTCGTTGCGACCACCCAATGTAGATTTTACTCTGACGATCGCAGGGATGATACTCGTAACCGAGATCGTCATCATGACTCACAAGACCACGTTAGGCGAGACCGCGGCAGATCCGTTTCTTACCGAAGCTCTTGCTATGACTCTAAGCGCGATGACATGAATCGTCGCGCTGACTCTCGTAACTATCCACTCGTTTACTCTCCACAACGTTACTCTCGCCAATCCCCTCAACGCTGTCGCGATAGCTACCGAAGGCACTAATCTTCCCAGCGATCTTACGAAACAGGGAGCCAATCTTCCCAATCAGCCCCTCCTGAAACCTGAACTGAGCAGTACGTGTCACGAAGAAGGGCATTGGAGTTACAAATGTGACAAGTATCAGCTTAAGAAGCCGCTTGAGGCTATTCAAATTTTCTACAACACCTTAAAGAACTCCAGAACGTCTGAATCAAACATCGTTGAGTTTTACCTCGATGGTCAGGACGACCACCAAAAAGTTGGCTTTGAGGAGTCCCACACTGTCTCCTTCAGTCAACCTTTACCTCCTCCCCAAGATGATGATGGAGTCACTGTACTATCTGCATTTCTTAGCCAGGTGGAAGAGAAACAGTCGTGGTTTTTTGATAGTGGGGTCACATCCCATTTGACTGGGAATAGTTCACTTTTGTCTAATGTCGCACACAGATTGACAAATTCTCGGTGAAGACCGCAGGCAATCAAGTCCTTTCAATTTGTGGAAAGGTGTCTCTTACCTTAAATCAGAAGAAGGCCTCCGATGTTTTCTACATTCCTGCTGTCAAGCGAAACTTGCTTTCAGTTGGTCGTCTTACTGATATGGGTCACATTGCACTTTTTAATTCTAAGAATTGCTACGTCTATGATAAGGGAGATTCTCGTAGAGTTTTGCTCCAGGATGAACGTGACCCACTTAACAACTTGTACAAGCTTTCTAAGCCGGCGACTCTACCTCAGCTAACGACGTCTCCACCAAGTCTCTTCTTCGGTCATCCACTGCTTGGAATATCGAAGGTCCTGTTCCAGACGTCAAGACATGCTCCGTAGTTCAGGCTGAACTTTGACATCTTAGGTTAGGCCATGCAAACTATCAAAAGTTGCATTTAATGGCCTCCAAGAATCTGGCTACAGAGATTCCCCAGATCCGACACATTAAGTCTCTCTGTGCCATATGTCTTAAAGCCAAATAGAGTAGGGACCGTGTACTTCGACACTCTCACACCCAGACTACTCTACCTTTGCAATTGTTACATTCTGATTTATGTGGGCCTCTTCCATCCGAGTCACTTACGAAGAAGAGGTACATATTAATGTTCACAGACAACTTCACTCGTTATACGTGGATTTACTTCCTGAGAACTAAGGATGAAGCCTTACAACAGTTTCAAGATTTCAAAGTAATGGTAGAGAATAATTACCAGTACAAAACTGCAGCTCTTAGAACTGATAGAAGAGGCGAGTACCTCTCCAAGGCCTACCACGG